TTTGAAATTTGCATGCCGATTCGGCCCGCATTGAACTTCAACTTGCTGCAAACAGTCCACACTAATAGCAACAACAACAACAACAACAACAACAACAATAACGACTTTAAAGCCGCAATAAGTTGTTGGTTTGTTTTAAGGCTTTCCTGTAATGTGGGCACAGTCAGTGGAGCTGCAAATCTACACCCATATATATCTTCTATTTGTACTACATATAGTCGTCGTGTGTAGGCTGTGGCTGTGGTTTGTGGGCTGTGGGCTGCGGGCTGCAGGCATGGCAGCAATTGCAGCAACAATAACAATAACAACAACAGCTAAAGCTAGCAAACAGCACCAACTAAACAGCTAACGGAAATGGCTAAAAAAAAAAATAGAAATATGAAATGAAATTTGGGTGGGTCGTTGGCTCTGTGTGTCGAGGAAAGAGGGAAGGGGGGAAAAGGTTTCAGACACGTGACTTACAAGCTGGGAAGTCGCTCACCCGAAACTATGATACAACAACATCGCATTCGATAGGGCAAACAGTCAACCGTGCCCCCAGGCCCCCGTGCCTTGCCGCACTCCCGTACACCCCCAAAGCCGTTGTTACGCATCGTCACACACATCCAGCATTGGAATTTCAATTTCATTTCGCAAGATGTCTAACAATTTTCAATACCAGCAGCAGCGACAACACCCTTCTTGAGAGCAACAACACGATATGGCCCTGTAACGCCTATCCGGCATGCCTGTTGCCATCATTACAAAATGTTTACTCACTCACTCTGTTTGTTTTGTATAACTTACTACTACTGGGCATGACGGAAGTTAACAAATTGCAGACAACTAGTGGGGAGAAAAGAGCGAAAAACAAAATGCACGAGACATCTACTCGTACATACTTGTATATTAAATGCAGCGAGGAAAAGTTATTTGCAGTTCGCTAATCATTAAGGCTCCCCAAACTACTTTTATTTTGATTGGAAAACTCGAAAACCACACATTCTTAATTAGTTTTTCAATTTAAACGCACTAGAATACTTCAATTTTGAATGAAACCTCTATGCCAAAATCCTTTAGCAAGTATACTAGAGTATGATTTCCTCGAACCACAAAATATACAGTCTTGGTGGCTTAAAACCACACATTTTTCATTAATTTTACAACACTGTGCACATGAGTTTGTTTCAATTTAAACGCACTAGAATACTTCAATTGTGAATGAAACCTCTATGCCAAAATCCTTTAGCAAGTAAGTATACTAGAGTATGATTTCCTCGGCCCACAAAATATACAGTCTTGGTGGCTTAAAACCACACATTCTTAATTAATTTTACAACACTGTGCACATGAATTTGTCTGAATTTAAACGCACTAAGCCATTTCTATTTTCATTGAAATTCCTATACCAGAATGATCAACCAATTGTGGATGTAGTAAGCATAATATAATTGTAGACGGGAATATATTTAAATCAATTTGTAGTATTAGACTCAATAATTTAATGTTAATTAGTAAGTCATGTTATTTGTTAGTTGTTAGGAACACCCTTTTCTATTAAATGATTGTCTTTTATTTGATTAGATGAGCAGTTTTATCTGTTACTCAGTATTCAATACTCTTCGATATTTATTTTTGAATTTATTATTATTATTTTTATTGAATTACAGGGTAATATAAATAATTTTGTATTGGTTTTTGTGCTGCTTTAGAAAAACACTAATATTAAGTCGAAGCCGAGAACGAGCTCACTGTTAATGTAAAGTGTGTCTTCAGCTTATAATCTATAGAACATAAAAAAGTGGAATAATTATTTTAAATATTTAGACTTATTTATTTATTACTTATTTATTAGACAATAACAAGCGCTAACTGCGAAACAACAACTTGATTGTACATGAAAGGCTCTTATTAATTGTTCCCATGATTGATTTGGGTTAATTCTGTAAGACTTTAATGGAGATGCAGCAATTAAAGTCTTACAGAATTAACGTGACTATAAATACATATATATCGCTAAAAATATTGTGGCTGATGTTGTTGCGTGTGGCAAAGTTTATTTCAGTTGGATGACTATAGCGGGGAAAAGGGTGGGTACGGGGTATTCAAGAGTCGGGCTTGAACATATCACTGATTTGCTTTGTGTTCTACGATTATTTTGAGAACATACTGTAAATATAAAGGGATTAATTAGTTCAGGGCTTCGATGGGAAGGGACTAAATCTCGTTCTACTGTTCAGAATAGCCTTATCCCTCACGACGGGTCGGATCAGTAACATACTATATGTATATGTATACTTGTATATACCCATTGCATTTACGACAGCATGTCGAAATTAAAATGGCCAAAGGTAATTACTTGGATGCGAGTTATAAATAAAACTCCACAGGGCTTGTCTAGATGGGCGTATAGATATATGTACGTACTATATATATAGTTGTGTGTACATATATATCTGGATGCATCGCTAGGAGCTGACACTGCTTGTGGTCTGTGGCTGTGCTTGTCAAACTGTTGCACAGTTTTGTTATCCATTTTAATTGAAATTGCAGACTGGCAAATAATTTCCGGTTGTTGCTGCTGTTGTTTTTGTTTTTATTGCTGCACCCTCTGGCTTTTGGACAGCGCCAGAGTACGTCAGCGAGCCTCCAGCTGGCAGCTTAATCCAATTAAGTGCAACTGTGATTGCGCTGAGTGGCAGAAAAACAAAAAAGAAAAAAAATTATTGCTACAAATGATGACAATGCTGATGATGGCAACGATGATGCTGTTACTGCGGCTACTGGTGATGGTAACGATCAGCCGTCGGTCTCATCAGAAATTGTGCCTTTGGGGGCAAGCAGGCGCGCCCAAAACCCATGTGGTCTCCATGGTTCATTCGCCTTTTGCTCCCAATGCGACAGCCTGTGTGCGTGAGCCTCAGCCTACTCGGCCGACACCCAGCCCACTTTTCTGTTTACCTTATGCAAATTTGAGCAGCCAACGTGCAGGCCAGAAGGCAGGCAGACAAGCAGACAAGCAGACAAGCAGGCAGGCACAGAAGGCACAGAAGGCAGGCAGGAATGCAGGGCGTGAAGCAACCCCCTTTGGCACAGTCTCGCCCATGTGAGGAGTTCAAAAACCTTTTGGGCCAACGCCAGCCCCGCAGCACACGGCCAACACCAACACCAACCCGACCAACAACTTTGGTGACATTTGGCCGGAAGTGAGTTTTCCTTAATTGCTGTGTGGCGCACCCCCTCCCCCGCCCCCTGCGCCATCTTCTCTTCGCGTCCCCATGGGGTTGCTTTTGAAATTTATATGGCAAATAAAGGGCCAACCAGCCGCAAAAATATTTTAAACTTTGTGCCAAAGTTTAGGGGTGAAATTCTCATGCACTTCATGTTGCGCTCAACTTTCACTTTGTGTAACAACAACAACAACAACAGCAATACTTATAGCCAGAAGTACAGAAATGCCTATTGATTTTTGTTGTAAATAGCAAGAAGCAAGTCAGTGGGCCAACACGACAGGTGGGCAACAGGCCACGGTGCCAGCGAAGGTAATTCTCTCTGGCAATTAGAGTTGCGCGATCTAGTTCAGTTTGTGGAACCAGAGAAATAACTACAAACATTTGTCGTCAGAAAAATGAACTGTAACAGCGAAAAGACAAATGATGGAATGACCAATAATATCAGTAATTCTTACATTATTAGCTCTTTAGTTTGGTCTGCCTAATCTAAAATAAAACACACATTAACTTGACCTTTCTGAACGTGTATACCGGGTTTAGTGACACTAGCTCATATAGTCTTCAAGGTCCATAAATTTAGACAGATATCTAGATAGATTTATGATAATAGCATGATTTGATCGAGAATTTACATACCAAGTATGTACGATTTAAAGGTTCGACTTATGAGTTGCAAGCAGCATTATTCATTTAAAATAATATTTTCATTATTTTTAAATTCATTCATATTCTTAAAGGTTAGACCCTTTTTTATGATAAACATAAAAGGGATTTCGAGCTGAATAATTAATGATATCTGTTCCAGCTATCAGAAAAATATATTTTCAATGATATTGAGAATAATAGTTTTTAGATGAATCGATAGACGATATTGACATTTCAGTCTGACGACCTCTCTGTCCGGGATACCGAACTTGGTACCTGAACTTGTCTTACCCATACGCAAAGCAAGTCTATTAGAAAATATGTATATATACATTTTCTTATATAGCTGACATAGAAATGATTGGTGGAAAAAAACTCTTACTAGAAGAGCCTATTTTGTTTGTAAACATATCTTAAACAAATGTTAATTCTGTATAATGACATAGGAACGATCGGTGCTGAAATCAAGCTTAGTGCCTACCACTTATTTGTTTATAAAGATAGAGTACCCAGATTTGGTATTTATGCGTTTTTTTTCATAGTACCTCACTGTAATCTGTGGATTTATAAGTTCACTTTTGACAAACATAAATGATAGTCTTGCTTGCTTACCAATATTACAGGTTTCGTTTTAAAAAATATGATGAACTCTGCTGGATAACTTTTGAACTGAGTTGTGTAGGAAATAAGAAAGGAAGAGTTTGTTGATTGAGCCGGAAATGGCAGAGCAACTGACTCCAAGAACTGAAGAGCCACAGAGCTTGCTACACAAGTACGGTGCATGTTGTGCCACCAATTGCTGCTTTAGTTGAGTCGACTGTGGCACTGTTGGACTGTCTAAATGTCTCTTTGTCTGTCTGTCTGTCTGTCTGTCTGTCTGTCTGCACTGTTGGCTGGCTGGTTGCCTCTGTCGCTTTATGACACCAATTATTTATGAATTCTAATTTTGTTTGGCGTGCTGCCAAGGCGGTCGGTTGGTGGGTCGTTCGGTGGCTCCCAAGCGTGCTACATGTGTCTACATGGGGAGATAAACTGTATACGACGAGTATAGCTAAATGTTTTGGTATATGACTAGTGTGTTTGTTGTTATTATTTTTATACTACAAATGTATAAACGAAACTTTGGTTCTTTTTTTATTGCAGGCGAGGAGTGTGAGGCTCAAGGTTGCAGCCAAAACTAAGTTAAAACGAAGTCGAACACTAGAGTTTTCTTTTGGTGAGTGAGGCAAGGAAAATATGTCAGCGCGAAGAAGTCAAACACAGATGGCGCCACCGCCGCCGCCCCCAAAGCCAAACAAGTCATATGCAAATGGCAACGGTACGCTGTCGAATGGTGGTACCAACAACAATCACAACAACAACAACAACGGCGGTTATAACAGCAGCAGCAACAGTGGCAGCAACTACATCGCCAACAACAATAAAAGTGTCGTAGTCACAACAGACGGGGCGTCAGCAGCGACTTCAAGTCAGCCAGGCCAGCCAAGCCAGCCAGGTCAGAACCTAAACGGGCCCAGTACCTGCCAGACGCCACCGCGGACCGAACAAGTCGTGATGACGCCTCGCGGGAAGACAGCGAACAGCACCGTCATACTCATCGAACGGAAGCTGGTGGACGAGATAAATGATCGGGTGCATGTGGCCGGCGGAGATCATACGGGCATTATCATTAACAAGGACACAGTGGCCGTGCAGAAGAGCGCCAGCAAGGCTGCTGCCCTCTCCCTGGAGTTCCGCGTCTTTCTGGTTAGCGCCAATACGGGCAAGCACTCGCAGGAGTCGCGCACGCTGAGATTCTGGTTTCGCGATTGGCTCACAAATGATGAGAAACAGGCGCACATAGCGCAGGACTTTTTCAAGGAGCTAGTTAGTCCCCAGGACTTTCCCAGAGGTAACTCTTCAGCTAAAAAGCTCGTTTTTACAGCGCACAATACTCAATCCCTTACGATTTTATAAGCCAGAAGTTGCAGGCAAATACTTCTAAACTGAGTCGAATCGAAAACAAATACAAATTTAGCTCTACTTTAAACAGGTTTTACAATTATAGAGCAATTAGCAAGCAAGCAAATGAGTGACTAGCTCCCCTCAATTTTAGATGGCTATGAATAGAACATGAACAGAATATACTATTGTAAAATCAAACTTACCAGTGTACCTATTGGGAACTGTGTACATAAGACTTATAATCTATAGGTAACACGAGAGTTTATTAATATTACTTTCCCTTCCTAAGCTACACATTGTAGCCAATACTGTTTCAAAGCTAAACGAACCAACCTTTTACAATTATTTTAAAATCCAGGCGATTTTCATCTTTTTTTAGAACTCACCTTGATTTGAAGTCGTTCAGAAAAGGTTATTATCTAGGGAATGCAATCGAACACGAATCTGACTATATAGGAACACCATTAAGGGTCTCTTTTATTAGAAAACATGAAATGCTTTCGAACACGAATCTGACTATATGGGATGACTATCGAGGCATGTTCTTTTATTAGAAAACAGGAAATGCTTTCGAACGCAAAACTTACTATACAAGTATAGGAACACTATCGATGAGTGCCCTTTTATTAGAAAACAGGACATGCTTTCGCACAAGAAACTGACACAATCGAGGAGTGTCCTCTTATTAGAAAACAGTGGTTGGGTACAGTTGAGTTTGATTTTGTCACTGTAAGAACGCAGTTTAGAGAAACTAAGTATAATGAATTATAGTAAAAGGATAACACACTTAACTACAGACTATGTGGGCTTTATCAAGAAGATAATGAAGCTACTCCAGCACGGATATCACGAAATACAATCCATTGAGATCGAGCTGCGTATATTGGAGGAGACATCAGCCCCGCCATCGCGTCCACGTAAGTATCTGAATAATATGTTCGTTTGAATCTAAAAACTTGTTGCCAATACATTGCTAATGGTTTTCTGGATAATCCATATACTTATACGTACTACAAATCGATATATATGTATCGGTCTCGGTCGGTTGTGTGGGCAGCGCGCGATGGTTACATCATCTACTGCTATGGCGACTGCAATCGCAAGTTCGAGGAGGCGTTGTTGGCGCAACAGAAAACAGGTGATGGCGACAATCTGATGAAGGCCATTTGGCTGGACATGTACACTGACCAGCTGAGCGCCCGCCGCAAATAAAGCCCTATATCGTTTCGGAAGCAACACTAACAAAACGGCTGCCCGAAATGCTAACAAGTGGAACATTTAAGCGATTTTTTTGTTTTTTGTTTTTTTTGTTCTATTTATTTTGCTCTTCCATTTTTTTTTTTAATAATCGGCATGTCTGTTCGTTTACATCGCACGCACCAATTAACAAAATTTCATTAAAAAGGCGCACTGAGTTTTAGTACAAAACAACAGATGAAATTTAATAATATCATGTATAATATTAAGAAAAAATAATAAAATGAGATGTCGAATGCGCTCTTCCAATAACCAGAAACCCATTAATAAGTAGGTCCGCAGCGCTCTCTTTCTCCCTCTCCCCGTCTGTTTTTACAAGGAGCTGAGGAACATTTCGTTTCCGATTAACTATAATAGATACTATATTTATTGTAGTTTCTCTGAATTCTGATCGGATTTTTCGAGTTATACTGGCCTTAGATTTAATGGATGTATAATCTAAATTTCAGCCCATCGCCAACTACCTTATAGATCAGTTATTGTATCTTTCATCGGAATCAAAAACATTGGTTAAAGTGCAATTTCTCGCTATAGGAATAACAAATGGGAAATTCACATATTTAATATTATAACCCACACTTTAGAATAAACAACTAGGCTTTTAAGCTTCGTCTAATCCTTCTAAATGTTGAAAATAATTTAAATTGACAGTTACTGTTAATGTTGTCAAATTTTTTAGGAGCTAATTAGAATACCTAGTTTTGAATTCAATTAAACTTTTCTGGGGAAAGCAACATTGTCAGTGGAGCTGCTTCCAATATAACCTATATAAAGTTTTTCCTGAACTTGGAACTTAAATCAAACATTTGAAGAAAGTCGCACATTAATTTCAATAAGAGCCTTATGCTCATTACAAATCTGGTCTTGAATCAATGTATAAAAATCAACAACTAATAGAATAATTTAAAAAAATGTATTAATTAATTGTTATTCCCATAAACTCTTAATATGTCAAGGAACAGAGACTCTCAATTGAGATCTCTTTAAAATTAACGATAATCAAGACAAATACTTTCCACAAAATTGTATTCATACGAGTACATACTTAGTACTTATATTTAAAAACTTCTGCTGTTGCCCATTGCTCCAGTGCACCTAAAACTGCGTTGCCAAGCAACTGTACGTTTTACAGTTACTAACAAACCTTGCAGAGCTATCAGACTAGCGGCCGTCAAACTATGAAGCTTAAACTGTGCATGTGGCTTCAAAACTGTAGTGACTGCAGCGCTTCTTAAGAAAAAGCCATTTCACACTATTTAAAGCCACGTTATCTTGTCGTCGGGCACTTGCATAGCCACTGCTGCTGCCACGCCCACTTTAATGACATTTAAGTGGTTTTTCGTCTGCCTTGTCACTTTTGGCAGCTGCTGTCTGTCTCTATTCCTGCTGCCTGTAATTAAAGCACGCTACTTGAGTATTTAATCACAGACAGCGTGCATTGCACCCTTCTTCATCGTTGTCTGTGTTGTTGTATTATTGTTGCTGTTGTTGTTGTTGTTGCCTTTTGCTGTGCTGTGCTCTGCTGTATGTGTCCTCTAACCAGCTAACCGCCACATCCCATTGCCCAACTGAAACGCCAACTGTAGCCAAGTGTGTGTTTTTGTTGTTGCCGCCGACGCCGCCGCCCATTACTAATGCGTTAATACAACGAGCTAAAAACCAACAAATTGTAAAAAGTTTTAAAAACTAAACCCGCCCGCACTCACAGATTCTCTCTCTTGTTTTCCTTTTTAAATTCACAGTATCGTTGGAAGAATCACAATTTGAATCTCCACCACTGACACAGGAAAAGGTTCTGGAACTCATCGAGCAGGCCTATCCAAATCCCGTGTCCCCTGATGATTTGGCCAAGTAAGTACTATTTACCTTGGGTCTTTCTTTACAGAAAGTTATGTAAAACAGCTATTGAATACGGGGGGTTACCTTTAATGTTTCGCGAATACAGAACAGAAACAAAGATATTATCAATACACTCTGCCGATCTTACACCTTCACGTGATTCATCCTGGAGCGAAAGGCATCCACTTTTCTGAGAATCAGATAATAGAGATATATCGTGAAAAGTCAAATTAAGTTCATCAATGCACTCTTACTGAATTAATTAATTAACAAACTAATAAATGCTCTTCCTCTTCTCTTCCCCCTTACCGCTAGGGACTACGGCTGGAACGAGCAGGATGTGCAGCTGGTGTTTATGTCACTACAGGAACGTGGTCTTATCAAGTCCATGGAATACAATGCCTACACACGCATACACTACGAGGACAAGGAGATTAAAGTCGTCAAACAGATGCCCACTATAGCCTCGAATAAGCAGCCGACAATTGCGATCATAACGGCGCAATATTGTGAGAAGTTGGCGGTCGACGCCATGTTGGAGAACAAGGAAACCTTTGTGCGATACACAACAGTGGGTAGGTAGTATATAGTGGGCGTTACTATCCACAACTATATCTGGTCTACTTATACAGCATCAAGGAATGTCTTACTAATATGCCACTCTGTTTTCTCTCTTTCCATCTCTTGTTCTCTCACTTCCCTGACATGACCCAATTGTTAAAAAAAAAAAAAAAAAACTGCATGAACTTGCATAAAATTTGACTGCTTGTTACACACATATACAAATATATATAACAACAACAAAAAATAATAATAATAATATCGATACGACCACCCCCAACCAACCACCACCACAACCACCACCATATATATACCAGATTCCGATCCCAACCTAACGAACTCACTCAAAAAATCCAAAAAGAAACGAAGATTTGGTAAGCAGACTTTGGTAAACGTCTAAAGCAAAATTTTTTCTAAATACTACTTATATTTTTTTTTAATTTTTAGTGTGAGTTGTTGTCATTGTTATTGTTGTCTAATACTTATAATTGTTTGTTGTTGTCCTAAGTTGTAAAAATAATAATAACCTCAAATGGGTTGGGGTTATGTTTTGCTTATTGTCACACTCACAAACACACACACCCACAAACACACACAAACACAAACAAACATACACACACAATCAAATATACACAAACAAACAAACATACAAACACATTAATAAACAGCAGAAATCGCTTAATGGAAACTATTTGTGCATACGTACAAATACACGTGCATATCGGATCTATATAGGTGGACAAATTAAAGATTATATACAAATATTATTATGTATATAATAACAATAAAATGTTCAATATTTCATTATAATTTGTATTAATTCTTATTTGTTTTAATCTCCTTTTTTCAAAAACTTTCTAAATATTTTATTATAATCATTTCTTCTTTGCTCGAAACATTTTGTACAATTTTATTATTTTTTAAAGATTACAATACAGTTTTATTCATTATTTTATAATAATATTATTATCATTATTATTATTTTCAAACCTTAAACCAATATGTTGGCTTTTTTCACATGTTTTCAACATTTTTTTAATGTTTTATTTTTTAACCTTAAAAAAAGTTGTTTTTTTTTGTTTCTGCTATTTCCTTAAGCGGTTTCCACTTTGTAAATATGTGGCACGTAATCGTACCCACAACCACCGCGCTGTGCCACATTGTTGGCTGGCGATGCACCTGATTGTCTTATCATTTAGGGAAAGGATCTGAGCACTAATGTTTATTTTGTTTGGTATTTGTCTTCAGGCGAATCAAATGTCTATACTTTGGGTAATATTGGAGCACATCGGATCGTAAGCACCAAGCTGCCATCGGTGGGCAGCACCCGTGAGGCGATGACGGCAACGGGCAATACCACGACTCGACTGCTGGGGACATTCCAAAAGGTTGATTACGTATTTATTGTGGGCGTTGCAGGCGGCGTTCCCCACTATACGGATTACAAGAAGCATGTGCGCTTGGGTGATGTCGTCATCTCGTATGTGGACAAGCAGCGTGCGCTGCTGAGCAGCAGGTAAGAAGATCTTCAGCTAATCCGACCGAGAAGTCAAAACTAATACCCATATATCTCTTACAGTAAGGAGAAGCCGTATGTGTATGTATACAAGAGTGGTGAGGATGTGAAGACCTATTTCCCAATCAACGACTCACTGCAGCTGATTGCCGAGAGTCTGCAGGCTAATATGGCGCAAAAGCGTCCTTGGGAGAGTTATTTGCGCGATGCTCTGCAGTCGCTGCTCCAGAAGACCGAAAGCGATTTCAATCGGCCAGACGGCAAGACGGACAAACTGTTCATGAATATTGGCAACAACGAGGTCATTGAGGTGGCTCATCCCATAGCGGCCGATGAGCTAGACGGTGTGCCGCGCATGCGCTTACATTTAGGACCAATTGGCTCCGGTCGGGATTTGGTGCGGAGCGATGATTTGCGCACCCAGTTCGCACGAAAATATGGACTGCTGGCCACCGATGTGGAAATGAGCTCTGTCCTTGACAGCATTATTGGCAACTGCAGGGAAAGCTTTATATTGGTGAAGGGCATATCGGATTATAAGGACGGCATGTCGACGCGCAAATGGCAGAATTATGCGGCATTGTCGGCTGCCTCGGTGGTTAAGTCCATCATATGTGGCATGGATGCGCCGACCAATGTTTGAGAGCTTAGCTTAGGTTATTAAACACATACCATAAACATATAAATTCAGATATATAATATATATAAACAGTAGATGTCGATACAAGTTAAGCGCATTTAGTAATCATTTATTTTCTAACTTTTGCAATATCTTGACAAATCTTCCTTCTTTTTTTTTATTCTTCATATTGTTTGATTGTGCGTTAATTAACCAAAATCTGGGCTCTTAAGCCCTTTTCTTGTAAACCAAATGTATGCGTATGCGTTGTCCTACTACATATGTTATGTATGTACATACATATGTATTTATACTATACATACTTGTATGTATTAATTTCTTGTTATTTATTTGTTATGCTTTTGTACTACATATATTTTTACAGTTATGTTCTATATTAAACACACACACACCCACACACATAACGCATAAAAATAAATAAATCAAATGTAATTATTGCAATTGCAAGATTTTTTTACAATCGCATTCAAATCGAAGTTTATAATTTAAATTCCCAACTTGCTGTTAAAAGTTGAAGTTGCCAGATCGTAGAGCCAAAGCCCTGCTGTTACCCATCAATATTTCGATAGTTTTCGCCTCGCCTCGATAACCCTCGGCGAAACCAAGCCAGCCAGCCGGCAAGACGAGGCAGAGCGGGGCGACGAATAAAGCGTTGTTTATTGTTATCTACAATTTAGTAGTTTCGCCGACGGCAGCCAACGCGGTTATTTTGGTTTGAATCTGCTACGGTTGCCTATAGCGGTTTTTTAAACGCCAGGAGCGACGTACATGGAAGCACGTGGCGTTGCGATTAGCAAAGAATTTCAAAAAGCGAAGAACAACGACAACACACCGTAAGTGATGGAGTAGTTGATTTGTTGTTGAATTGTGCTTCGAAGGGAAAGGACATAGCAAATTCCTTCCGAATTTAGCTCAAAACTATGCTTGGTTTAAATTGTCTTTTAATATAAAGTTGAATAGAAACAAACATCGCAAATAAAGTTAATTACATTTTTGTGTTCCTTGGCATTAAACTAATTTTAATCGGCGCTAAGGAATCAAGTATTTGCAATGAAATCGGCCTGTTGAACGTATGTCTTGTTGGGGTAGTGGAGGGGTCTGTCTGGCCTGCCTATTTATGTACACTCGTATGCATGAATGTGTGTATTTATATTAAGTGGACCGGTTTCAAGTTCAAAAGCCGCTGTCACTCATGCGCTCGCATCTGTGTGTGCGCCCGTACACACACACTTATACTAACATAAATGCCGTGGGCTTTAGCTTATTTGTTTCAATTTCAAATTTCAACAACATAAATAATTCTTTCGAATCGTAAGCTCTTTTGTTTGCCAATAGAATACTAAATTTTGTAAATGGACAGTGTATAGAACATTCATACTAATGCGTTCAATCAGCCTTTTATGAAGACCCTGAAGTGCTTACATATGTATGTTTATGAACCGTTCGGAAGCATTTGAAGCCCATAATTTTAATTGCGTCAATCGTGTATTGATAGCAATAATCAATATTACAAAATCCTTTGCCCAACATCGCTCTTCACATAAATACTCATAATCAGAATTGTATGTTAACCAGCTTTCATTGCACCAACTTCAATCGATCAAAAAATAAAAGATTTGTATACCTTATTGGGCCTGATGGTTTATTAAATTCCAATACTCTACTGTCTTAAAAGTCTGATATACATATAGAACAAAAACTTATGTTATTGCTGTAGTAGTAATTTTTGGGAAAAGCTTTTATATTGCATCAAATAAGCCGCCACCCACTGTATTTACCTATAAACGTGCATTGAATTCGACTTACGACTATTTGCTATATACATCTGTATGTACTATATAAACGTATTAGCTACATGCATATCGAATCGGTATTTATAAAAAAAGCCAAATGCATTGATAAGCCCATGCAAATAAATATGTATGTTTGTTTGTTTGAGCTACGTATCCAAAAAATTGTTTTTCTAAATTAAACTCTGGAAGCGACGCGCCAAAGGGGCTCCTCATTGTAATAAGAATCTCTAGGCGCGCATTTAACAAAACAATCAAACAGCAGTTGCTGCTGCACTTAAATTCTATATAAACAATAACTTTATACCTTGAATAAATTGGCAATCTAGCAAATTTCGCTTTCCCATCAGTTAACCTGACGCCGTAGTTCGTTTAAAATAACTGCATGTGGGGAAGTAAAGTCAACATGCTTTTAAGTTTTAAGAAGTTCTCTTTGGCTTTAAGTGTTGAAAATCATACGCAGTTATAAATACAGTATGTGAAGATTAAATTCAAAATCAAAATTACGTCAAGTGGGGAAGAAGAGTTAACAGGTTTTGATGTTTTAGGAGGGTGTTTCGTTTGGAAAATAGAAATATTCAAAGCACATAACTGCGAAATAAATATATTTATTGAAAGTTGGAACAAGTGTCATTCCATTATGTTCGTCCGATTATAACAAATGAGTTTCACATTAATGATGAAGGAATCTAAAAACAAATTAAGCAGCACATTGTTTCAGGGCTAAGTTTTTCATGTTGCACCAACTGATAAAAAGAACTACTTGTATTGAGACCGCAGAAACGCTGTCGGCTTGCGGAAATGGAAAACCCATTATGTGTATTACATTTTGATGAACAAAATTCTGATAAAATCGCACACAACATACAAGTACTTAATTTGTTTTATCAGAACTTAAGCCTAAATTTAATCTTTATATTATTAAACGTTCCATAATAAAGTTATATTTGCCGGCATCCGATATGGAGCTATGAATAAAAAAAAAAATACATGTATATTCGAATATACAAAATAAAAGCAATATATTTAATATAAATAGGCTATAATCCTTCAGTAATCAGATTTGTCGAGCGTTGTTCTTTGATCTTAATTTGATGGCCTTTTCTAAAATATGTATTAAAGTTGTGCTCCTTAATTATATATTTTTTTTAATCAAAGCATTGAAGCCGTGCATTCAGATTAGCACCTTAAATAGCCCAACCTCGAGCACTTCCGCGCGAGGATTAATAAGTTAGTGGTGGCTTATGCTTATCTAAATGTTTTGAAAAAACCTAATCGTTGCAATCTTCGAGGTCTATCAGGAAGGAGTCCTCTTGCAAGCAAACTGCGGTAACTCACAAGCCTGTCACTGTAGTAGGATTTGTAGGAAAATTAAATTCATAAACCGTATTATGTATTTCTTGTAATATCACTCTTGTATCCAAGCAGTATACGACTTTTGTAAGCCTAATTCGCAACTCCCATTCAATGAATGGTACTCAGAGAGAGTAAGAGTGTATTTGTTTTGTTTTCTTCCCCCGTTCTCTCTATTTTTTGATTGCTCAGTTGGCGACAGTCTCGCCGGCCGGCATTTGTTTGGGAATGGGTTTTGGTATATGATCCGTATTGACCTTAGTTTAATTGAAGGCTCTTTTGATGTTTCAAGTGTTTCGACGATGTCTAAGCCGGATTGTTATCTTCTGCTCGAGGATGGAACCGCAATGCCTGGGCAAGCCTTTGGGGCGAAAGGCAAGGAACGTGAAGGCGAAGTGGTCTTTCAGACCGGCATGGTGGGCTACACGGAGGCCCTTACAGATCGTTCGTTCATGGATCAGATATTGGTGCTGACCTATCCATTGATTGGTAACTATGGTGTGCCCGATGCGGAGCAACTCGATCAATTTGGCATCCCCGAGCACTTCGAGTGGTACAAAGGGGAGGTGCAGGCAGCAGGCCTTGTCGTGGGTGAGATCTGCGAGACACCATCCCATTGGCGCTCCAAGCAAACATTATCTCAGTGGCTGGAACAGCACAAGGTGCCCGGTATTAGCGGCATCGATACCCGGGCCTTGACCAAGAAACTACGCGAGAAGGGCAGCCTTCTGGGCCGCATTGTCTATCAACTGCCCGAAAATCTGAACGCTCTAAAGTTCGAGGATCCCAACAAACGTAATCTGGCCAAAGAGTGTTCCATTAAAAAGGAACTGCTCTTTAATTCGAAGGGCGGACCGCGTATTGCCGTTCTGGATTGTGGTCTCAAGCTAAACCAGCTACGTTGTCTGATCAAGCGAGGAGCGTCGGTTCAACTGCTGCCCTGGAATGGCAAGCTAGATGAGACCCAGTACGATGCCCTCTTCCTGAGCAATGGTCCCGGCAATCCCGAGAACTGCAGCGAAATTGTCGATGTGGTTCGCCGTGTGATCGAGGCGGGCACCAAGCCCATTTTTGGCATTTGTCTGGGCCATCAGCTGCTGGCCACTGCCATAGGTTGCAACACCTACAAGATGAGGTACGGCAATCGAGGCCACAACTTACCGTGCCTTCATCGCGCCTCGGGTCGCTGTCTACTTACATCACAGAATCATGGCTACGCCGTTGACCTTACCAAGCTGCCAACCGACTGGGAGGAGCTCTTTGTCAACGTTAATGACGAATCCAATGAAGGTGAGTACATATTTCACACATATTTTCTTTCTTCCTATCTAAAAATTCTTGACACAAACACCTGATCAAAGAAGATAATTTAATGGAATATACAGAGCTTTTGAGAGTTTTCAGCACTTATATTTCTAATTGTATCTTTACAGGTATTGTGCATACAAGCAAGCCTTACTTTTCAGTGCAGTTCCATCCCGAGCACCATGCCGGACCACGCGATACAGAATTTCTATTCGATGTCTTCCTTGACTCCATACGCGATCGGGCATCGACCATTCCTCAGCTTATTCAGCGACGACTGAGCTATACGCCAATTCAGCCCAGTGTGCCCACCAAGCAACCGAGAAAGGTGCTAATATTAGGCTCTGGTGGGCTATCCATTGGACAGGCTGGTGAATTCGACTACTCGGGCTCACAGGCCATCAAAGCTCTGCGCGAATCGAATATCCAAACGGTGCTCATTAATCCCAATATTGCGACGGTGCAAACCTCAAAGGGAATGGCAGACAAATGCTATTTTCTGCCCCTAACGCCACACTATGTGGAGGAGGTAATTAAGTCGGAGAGACCCACAGGTGTGTTGCTTACCTTCGGCGGCCAGACGGCACTAAATTGCGGAATCGAACTGGAACGAAGCGGTGTTTTTAAAAAATATAATGTACGAATTTTGGGCACACCCATACAGTCCATCATTGAGACAGAAGACCGCAAACTGTTCGCGCAGCGTGTCAACGAGATTGGCGAACGTGTGGCACCCTCAGAAGCTGTCTACTCAGTGGCGGAGGCCTTGGAAGCGGCTAATCGCTTGGGCTATCCGGTTATGGCCCGTGCCGCGTTCTCTTTGGGCGGGCTCGGCTCCGGCTTTGCGGACAATGAAACGGAGCTGGAGAATCTGGCCGAACAGGCCTTGGCTCACTCTAGCCAGCTGATTATTGACAAATCGCTCAAAGGTTGGAAGGAGGTGGAATACGAGGTGGTGCGCGACTCTTTCGACAATTGTATCACAGTTTGCAACATGGAGAATCTGGACCCCCTGGGCATACACACAGGCGAGAGTATTGTGGTCGCACCTTCGCAGACTCTTTCCGATCGTGAATACAATATGCTGCGCTCTACCGCTCTCAAGGTGATTCGTCATTTCGGCGTCGTGGGCGAGTGTAATATTCAATATGCCCTCAATCCGCATTCCGAGGAGTACTTCATAATCGAAGTGAATGCACGTTTGTCGCGCAGCTCAGCATTAGCCAGCAAGGCGACTGGCTATCCATTGGCCTACGTGGCCGCCAAGCTGGCCCTCGGCATCGCCCTGCCCAACATTAAAAATTCAGTAACTGGAAATACAACCGCCTGCTTCGAGCCTAGCTTGGACTATTGTGTTGTGAAAATACCACGTTGGGATCTGGCGAAATTTGTGCGCGTTAGCAAGAACATTGGCAGCTCAATGAAGAGTGTGGGTGAGGTAATGGCTATAGGACGTACTTTTGAGGAGGCATTTCAAAAGGCGTTACGCATGGTTGATGGCGATGTGCAAGGTTTTGATCCCTATGTGGCAGCTGTGGATAAGGATCTGCTGTCCGAGCCAACAGATCGTCGCCAATTCGTGTTGGCCGCCGCGCTCAGAGCTCAAATGTCCATTGATGAACTGCATCAGTTGACCAAAATTGATCGATGGTTCCTTCATAAGCTGGCGCACATTATTAAAGTCTATGGGGAGCTGGAGAGTGCAGGCAACCAGCTGAGCTCCGAGCTGCTGCTGCGTGCCAAACGCCTGGGCTTCGCAGATAAACAGATTGGATCGGCGACAAATAGTACTGAGCTGGCGGTTCGAAATCAACGACGTCTGGCAAACATCAAACCATTTGTGAAGCAAATCGACACGGTAGCTGGCGAGTGGCCAGCAAGCACAAACTATTTGTACAACACATATAACGCTTCGGAGCACGATTTGGAGTTTCCCGGCGGACATATCATTGTCGTCGGCTCCGGTGTCTATCGCATTGGCAGTTCTGTGGAGTTCGATTGGTGTGCCGTCGGCTGTTTGCGCGAGCTTCGCCAGCTGCAAAAGTCCACTATTATGATCAATTATAATCCAGAGACTGTGTCCACTGACTATGATATGTGCGATCGTCTTTATTTCGAAGAGATCAGCTTTGAGGTTGTGATGGACATTTACGAAATGGAAAAATCAGATGGCATTATACTCTCGATGGGTGGCCAACTGCCCAATAATATTGCCATGGATCTGCATCGTCAGCAGGCCAAGGTTTTGGGCACATCCCCCGAGTCTATTGATTGTGCCGAGAATCGTTTCAAATTTTCCCGCATGCTGGATCGTAAAGGTATTTTGCAGCCACGCTGGAAAGAGTTGACCAACTTACAGTCGGCAATTGAATTCTGCGAGGAGGTGGGCTATCCATGCTTAGTGCGACCATCATATGTTTTATCTGGCGCCGCCATGAATGTCGCCTACTCGAATCAGGATCTGGAAACATATTTAAATGCCGCCTCGGAAGTTAGTCGCGAACATCCAGTGGTCATCTCAAAGTTCCTCACCGAGGCCAAGGAGATCGATGTCGATGCTGTTGCCGCCGATGGACAAATTCTATGTATGGCCGTCTCGGAGCATGTAGAAAACGCCGGGGTTCACTCAGGCGATGCTACATTGGTCACACCACCCCAGGATCTAAACGCCGAAACGTTAGAGGCAATCACGCGCATTGCACGTGATATGGCCTCCATGTTGGATGTGACTGGACCTTTCAACATGCAACTCATTGCAAAGAACAATGAGCTCAAGGTCATTGAGTGCAACGTGCGAGTCTCTCGCTCCTTTCCCTTCGTCTCAAAAACACTGGACCATGATTTTGTGGCCACGGCCACGCAAGCCATTGTAGGCATGTCTGTGGAGCCGGTGGACGTGCTTCATGGCGTCGGCAAGGTGGGCGTCAAGGTGCCACAATTTAGTTTCTCCCGTCTGGCCGGCGCCGATGTACAACTGGGCGTTGAGATGGCCTCAACCGGTGAGGTGGCCTGCTTTGGTGACAATCGGTATGAGGCCTATTTGAAGGCCATGATGTCTACAGGCTTTCAGATACCAAAGAATGCCATACTTTTGTCCATCGGCAGTTTTAAGGTAAGCGTTTTACTTTAGAGTTTCATTCCAGAATTGAATATTTATGCGATTTTCAGCACAAAATGGAACTACTACCTTCCATTCGAGATTTGGCCAAAATGGGATACAAACTGTACGCCTCAATGGGTACTGGCGATTTCTATGCAGAGCACGGAGTTGACGTGAGTACCTCATCACTTCATATAGACTTACAACACAATTGTGTGGACATTAGAATAAGTAGCCAAGTGAGTCGCTGCCACTTATCAGCTACACACTTGAACAGACTTGACATCACTCCTTATCTGCCCTTGGAAGGTAGTTGGCCTGGATTTCCAGAGAAATTCTATTCAGCCATTACACTACGCAACACAATATACAAACGATGCGAAAATAACAGATGAATCTGCAGTGTCTTGGCTCAGAGAACCTCAGAAGTGTTTGCTACCCTTTTAAAATAGGTAGAAACCCTTTAGAAGTATGCATAAATCATCCTTTATTTTTTTGAATAAGTGATATCGGGGGATAGTGGGCTGTGGGCTGTGGGTGATGGGTGTTGGGTTTGTTATCAGATATACATGAATTGTTATTATCTGTGAACGCTTTAATTTGCTCTCAACTCTGTGCGGCCGGGTTGAAGGCGCCCTTCAACTTTTCTGTGTTCCGTTTGAGCATATTACGTAGCTCGTCACGTTTTGTTTCGGGTGCGAGTACCTTGAACACCTCATCTGTTTTGGCGCCCAGCTTGTGTAGTCGCTGAGGATCTACATTGAGTCGGGAGAGCAGGGAGCCTAGTGAAGACACCACTGTCTGCTCGGTCGCTAAATCAGGTGATGGTTCCTCCGGAGCCTGCTCCTGTTCCACAATAATGATCTCATCGCTGCTAGTCTTTATGTTTGAGGTTGTACGCAAGATTCCCGCAGGCGCTGTGTGCCTGTAAGGCTGTTGCAAAGGACTCACATCGCCGGTATGCACCTCGACGACATGCTCCACGAATTTGATTGATTTGCGGCGTGAACTGGAGCTGCCTGGTGCGCGCATAGAGCTGGCGCTCTGACGACGTGGTAGAGCAGGGGGCGTCGACTCTGGCAAGGCAAATATCATGTTATCGTTAGCATTCCCATTGATGGAACTCTCTCTCGCCTGTTCGATGCTATGCGCCGCCTCTAACAAGGCTGTAGTATAATGTGGAGCATATTGGCAGCATCCAAATTGCTTGTACAGATGGCAGAGGCGCTGTGCATGTTCCAGATAGAGTTGTGCATGCTGAGTATTATGAAACTCATTGGCCTTGGCAATCATTTCGAGCAGGTGATCGAGCAGAAGTTCAAGTAAATTAGTGCGTCGAAGAATTTCGACGCCATCATTTAATTGCGGCGCTGTCGGCGACTGGGATGTGGTTTGAGAAGGGCGTGGTGAAGATCCAGTAGCTCGCACCACCAACAACTCTACATCAATTGATTCGATAGACTGGCGACGTTGTTCCGCCAGCTTTTGTTGTTGTTGGGCGCGCAGCAGTTGAGTCTGACGCCGCAGTTTACCGCGCGTGCGCTCCTGATGTTGTCTGATGCCTAGCAGGCCGCTGGCATCGTTTGGATGTAATTGTACGCCCTTCAAATCCGACGATTCGGCCTGCCCCCGCTCTTCCTCTTGCTCCGGATTTAGCTGGTGTTGGGCGCGCGCAAACTTCGCCCAACCCCTCAGCTTTAGGTAATCCTTGGTGACGAAATGCTCGCAGAGACGGCGGTAGTTCATCTTTGGATAGAAATCTGGAGCATGTTCCAGATTTCGTAAAGCGATCAGCACATGCATTAGGGGCTGCTCGGCAATGTCAGACATAATGGAGCTCATCGCCATGAGCGCATCTTCGGGCATATACTCAAAGAGATTCCGAGCCGGTATAAAATAGTCGCCCAACTCCTTCTTAGCCAGGCAGGCCGCAAAGCCACGCACGAAACGCACCAGGACCTCACCCAGAAATTCCTCCGGCCAGGCGTTGTAATGGCGTTCGCACTCCCAGAAGAGATGAGCACGCAAATGCTCGACAGCATGGATCATCATGGTCTGGCCCTTCTCGTGCGGCTCCACAAATGCCTTCAGCAGCACCTTCATCAACATGAACACTTTAAGTTGCGTGCGCGTCAGCTGCCGCTCCAGATATTGTTCGGCTTGAGGGAAAATAATGCGCCACTCCAGATCTCTGAAGGGGTTGCGTGCACGCTTCGGCGCATACCCCACAGGCACAACATGGTAGCCAAACGACTGAATACGCTTGCGCATTTCTGGCGTGGGCCATTGGAATTGCTCACCGGTGTGCAGACTGGTGACGAGGGGGCGGGGGCGCAGATTAAACTCGAAGGCGCAATCGGGCCAGCTGTGCGGCACATGGATGGCGGGAATCACTTCACCGGAGGCTGTGTAAACGCTGCAGCCACGATATGTGCCCGCCGCCAGCTGACTGTGTGGAATACGAAGCTGGGGCGCCAACTGCTGCCTCAGCAGATCCCCAAAGTAGTTCATAAACTGCGCCGAATTGAGGTAACTCTGTTGGAGCAGAGCACGTCGCCGCTCCTGCTCAACGCGACATTGACGCAGTACCTGCACCGTCTCGTAGTCATCCACGACAGCGGTATGCGTTGATTGCCCTTGCCCCAGGTTCTCAAGCTGCTCTTTCGTGCTCTCCTCCTGTTCCTCGCTGTCTTCCTCCTCATCGCTGCTGGGCGCATCCTCATCGTCATCACTGGCTTCCAGCCAGGGCTCCACAAAGTTGGCCAATCTGGATACACACGCCTCCGGCAGAACGTTGCTTTGGAGAGGTACACGCGGCGTACTTAACCTCAAATCCGCAATAGGCCTGTGCGTGTTAAAGCGTGAAATATAGACATGGTCATATATGCCATCCAACTCATTACGTTTGGCCCGTTTATCCTTCCCATCTACAGAACCCACGCTGCTATAAATGCTCGCAGCTGTGCTGTAACCGGAGCTGCCGTCCGTATAGACACCATCGTCGCTCAGACTGCGCTGCACCGTCGCCTGCTCCCGCAGCTTAAGTCGCACATAGCCCTTCCAGCGTGTCCGCTCCAGCATTTGTGTGTACTGGCTGCGACAAGGCGTCGTATTATAGTAATCCGTTTCCATTAACACCTTGCAGAGCGTGGCTATCGAATCATAGTTGGCATCGTTCGGTCGCGCAATGTCCACATTCTCAAATACCACGTAAATCAGCGGCAGCTGGATTAATTGCGATTGATGCTTGAGCGGTCCATGACTGTAAAAAGGAGAAGAACCATTCATTCATCATATCCTGCGATGAAACATACAATACAAGTATAAGCCAACACTAAGCTCATACTCTTATCGAAAATGAATGGCAAGCGTGAAGGAAACTACTATTTCAAGGGCGCCGGAACTGATTTCAAATAGAGTGGATTGTCGCAAACCAAGTACTTAGCCACTCGATTTCTGAGTAGTTGTGACAAGTCAATAATAAGTCACCATCCAGCGGCTTATTAGTACTTTGTTCTATAGAAGAGCTTTTAAAGTATACGAAAAAGAAAGGTAGTTCCACAACTTCCTGCCTGTTTTAATCACTGATCGGTAGCAGATCTAAATACGATCAAAACTGTGAGGAAACGTGAAAATATAGGACAACTAGGTATCTTAAAATGGCAAAGAAGCGACATGAAAAGTTTTCACTTCGCAGGGTCCAAGGACACATTAGGGATAGCACTTCCCACTAAATAAAATATCTAAAAAAACCTCTTCACAGTCGCAAATGTTGCCATTTTTTCTTAATCTTGCACCAAAAAAAAAAAAAACAGGTTAACACACAAAACAAATGAGCTTGCATCAGCACTCTATAGTATTTGCATGCACTAAAACACTAGCTATAGCTTCTGGATTATTCCAAAATACCGATCATCTGGCTAACTGGCCTAACCCATAGATATTCCTCAGGCCACACTTACACGGGTTTGTACTTCAAGCGCTTTGCCACAGCTGCATCGATGGCGCTGGCAAAGATGAGGGTCTGATCTGTCATTCGTTGGGCGCACTCGCGTCTCTTCGCCTGCAATTGCTCATCCATGGCCGCCAGCTCTGCCTCGAAGTGGCCAAAGAACTGTGTGGTCAACACCAGTTGGTTGAGCAAAAATATGTGCAATTGGTGCTCCAATTGGTGTCCTGTCTTCAGCTCGATGGTGCGCTGGTGCTCCTCCCGCTGCTGTTCGAGCGTGCGGGCGTACAAGGCGCTGGCACATTCGGTGGCACTGCTGCCATTACTGCCGCCTAGCAGACGCAGTTGGGGGGCCAAGCCATTCACTGCACCACCAACGACTCCTACACCACCGGCCGCACCAATGGTGCTGCGACGCAAACTGCCACCTCCATCGAGGCCACGCTTGCGTCTGCGCTTTTTCGCATTGCGCCGATGGAGCTTGGCCAGCTTGCGCTGACGCTGCTGCTCACACCATCGCCGGTGCTTGACACGATGCACCTCCCGTTGCTGCAACTGCTGCAAAGGACTCGGCGTCTCCGTCTCCACTGGCCTCGAACAAGGACAGCCCATTGAATTCTCTCGGTTCGGCTCGCGGCTTCTGCAAACTGAAACTGACGCACTCTCTCCGTGCAACTCGCAATCTTGCTGTCGCTTGGCAAACGCTCTGTTACTGAGTCCACTGATCGAATGCGATTTTCTTGTCGCGACATTGTCAATTTGCTTGAGTTTCGTATGATTGCAGCGGCTAGATAAGATCACCGATCACGATAATGGCTGCTGGGCAGGCGGGCAGCGCTGTCAGGGGCGCCATTTTTTTTTTTGCAGATCTTCCGATCAGCGCTGAACTAAATGGTGATTGAAATCACAGAGTTTGCACCGACAAAGTCACACCGTCCCAGTTACAAATTTGAAATGGTGGCAAACCAATAAAAGGCTCTGTATTTCAGAATTTCCTACCTCCGTAATATTTAAATAACTAAATAAATAATTTAATAATTAAATTGCTTTTGAGAGGAAATGGTTTCGTTCATTCGACCTAAAGTGATGGCTATGTTAATAGTATTTTCCATTCTAAAATTTCACAGTTTCTAATTAAACTGATCAACACATTTGCAGCTTAAATCGCGAATTGTTAGTTCAGAGATACGTGATTGGGGATTGCGGATTGCTAGGTCGCGAATGGTGTTTTGATTCTGCACATCAGTACTTCCTGTGGCTTTGCGTTTCCGGGTAATTGTTGAGCTGAAGACAAAGAACTGCTCGCAGCCGCTGTGCCGCCGCAGCTCTCTTATCATTGCCATTGTTTGTGCACCTCTTGTAACGGGCCATATAGATCGATATCTTTATGTCTATGAATACAATCTTATCAATCTAAATGAACGTACTGACGCATGGACAAATGGCAATTGGCGGCATTTGTGTTTGCTGACATATGTACCCGGCGCCTAGGCTTGGCCCAGGCTGTAACTTGTAACTTGTAACTTGCCAATTGTAAATGTCATTGTCATTCCATTTAATGCTATGCACTTTGGATTTTTTGCTTACACAGGTGGAGTCCGTGCAATGGACCTTCGATAAGACCACGCCCGATGACATCAACGGCGAGCTCCGACACTTGGCTGAATTCCTTGCCAACAAGCAATTCGATTTGGTTATCAACCTGCCGATGCGTGGTGGGGGCGCGCGACGGTAAGTAAAGGGTAACGCACAGCAGAAACTATTTAATAGCTAACAGTAACGGCCCTATAATCACAACTACATATCTAATTTTCTACATATACATATATTATATGGACCCTGTCCCTTCTTCCCTTCTTCTTTGGAGAGGACTTGCTGCAGAGTCTAAGGCTCAAACATTTACATTAGCGGAGCACTCAACTAGCTTTGCTCACGCAGCCATTTTTCCCAAGTAAAAGATCTTTTCGGAAAGCTATATGCATATACATATGTATGTATGCATGTATATTTAAGCTAGACATATACTCTTTTTATACTCTGTACATGAAATGTACAGAAGTACTTGTATATTAGGTTTGCGGCAGCTGAAAAATGTAACAGGCAGAAGGAGGCGTGGCAGACCCCCCAAAGTATATATATTCTTGATCAGCATGACGAGACGAGTCGATCTAGCCCTGTCTGTCCGTCTGTCCGTCCGTATGAACACCTGGATCTCAGAGACTATAAGAGATAGAGACACCAAATTTTGCACAAAGATGCCTTATGTGTGTACGCTATACGAGTTTGTTTTATTTTTTTGATTTTCCCCCCCACTTCCCCCCTATGGGGGTTTTCCCGATTTTCCATTCGTATAATCGCCTATATCTCGGAAACCATAAGACCTAGGAACACCAAATTTTAGTCCAAGATACCTTGTGTGAATACGCAGAAAATGTATATTTTGGAATTTCCCTCCCTTCCCCCTCTCCCCCGTAATTCTTGGAATTTCGAACTAAAAAACTATTATGTGTCCGTGTGCCAAGTTTCACTATGATAGACCGATTTAACAAGAAGTTATAGCTATAAATATATTTGCTGCTGCAGCGCTGCTCAAGCGCTGCCCCCGGCTGTTGATGTTGCTGTTTGGTTGACTGCTAACATGTTTACACAGACACGAATAGATGCGCATAGGCATACATACACTCACACAGACGCAATTGCTATGTAAATGTGCAATTATACATCCTTTACGTGAGTTCGAATACCGAGAAAGGTAAAATCGATCAAATTTTTTTTTTTATTTTCTTAATTTTTTTTATTTTCTATAATTATTGTAAACATATGTACAGAGTATTTCAAAGTCGGGACACCCGACTTTAGCTTTTTTACTTGTTTTCTAAAAGAAGTCCCCAAAATACAATCGCACTTTCTCAAACTTGCGAACTAGAGTTTCTTGAAGAACTGCAAGTTTCTTAAATTTAATTCCATTTACTCACCACCCTTTTTCGGTGGAGAGTTTTCGTTTTATACAAGTATTTGTGCATAATTGCAAGTGTAAATAAATGATAAGCCATTATTATCATAAATACCATACTTATCAAGCGTCGCTGACAACTACATACATATGTATGGATGTATCCGTGTAGCGTCTACTACTTGTATATATGTAATTTTTTTAAAAGCTTAAGACCAGATTAACACCTTCGTGCCGCAAGCAATAATCCAGCAATTACATTTACATTGGGAGTAAATAGTAAACTATATTTTTGGAAGTCCCTTTTTCTCTATAATACTTGTATGTTTCTGTTCGCTCTACCCATACAGCGTGTCCTCGTTCATGACGCATGGCTATCGCACCCGCCGTCTGGCCGTCGACTATTCCATACCTCTGGTGACGGACGTGAAGTGCACGAAACTGCTTGTGGAGTCGATGCGGGTGACTGGACGGAATCCGGCCATGAAGACGCACACGGACTGCATGACGTCGCGTCGGATTGTGACGCTGCCGGGCTTTATCGATGTGCACGTTCATCTGCGCGAACCAGGCGGCACACACAAGGAGGACTTTGCCAGCGGAACAGCCGCGGCTCTGGCTGGGGGAGTTACCATGGTTTGTGCGATGCCCAACACCAACCCGGCGATTGTCGATCGCGAGACCTTCACACAGTTCCAGGAACTTGCCCGTCAGGGCGCCCGCTGTGACTATGCCTTGTATGTGGGCGCAACAGATACGAATTGGGCGCAACTGCCGGAGCTGGCCAGCCAGGCATTCGGCCTTAAAATGTATCTCAACGATACCTATGGAAAATTGCGTATGAGCGATATGGGTGCTTGGCAGCGCCATCTTAGCCATTGGCCGAAACGGGCGCCCATTGTGTGTCATGCGGAGAGCCAATCCATGGCCGCCATCATCTTGTTAGCTCACATGATGGATCGCCCCATCCACATTTGTCATGTGGCGCGCAAGGAGGAGATCCTCATCATACGCGCTGCCAAGGAGAAGGGAATTCGTGTTACCTGTGAGGTGTGTCCGCATCATTTGTTTCTCAGCACACGCGATTTGGAACGCCTAGGAGCTGGTAAGAGTGAAGTGCGTCCCATATTGTGCTCATTGGAGGATCAGGAGGCATTGTGGGAGAACATTGAGTATATTGATGTGTTCGCCACCGATCATGCTCCGCACACACTTGCCGAAAAGGAATCGGAGCAACCACCACCAGGCTTCCCAGGTCTAGAGACCATCTTGCCTCTGTTGCTGCAAGCCGTCAACGACGGTCGCCTCACACTGGAGGATATAAAGCGGAAGTTCTATCGCAATCCTAAGAACATTTTCAATCTGCCCGATCAGCCCAACACCTATGTGGAGATCGACATCGACGAGGAGTGGACCATAACCAATAGCGAGTTGAAGACCAAGGCCAGCTGGACGCCATTCCATGGCACGAAGGTCAAGGGTAAAGTGCATCGCGTCGTGCTGCGTGGCGAAGTGGTCTACATCGATGGTCAGGTGCTGGTGCAGCCAGGCTATGGACAAAATGTACGTACACCCCAATACAGCGCCAAAGCATTGATCGCCCAGCAGCAACTGGACGCTATGGGTGTGTGCGAGGGGCGACCGTTGGGAGACACTAGCTTTGAACGGGGCACGGAATTGCCCAGCGATACAGATGCCAACGACACCTTCACTCGTCTGTTAACCGATGGTGTTCCTGGCCGGGCCACTGTCCATTTCACAGAGGATGCGGGGGTGGGCTCCGGCACGAGCGGCGCCGCCAACTTTTTGCGTCCGATATCACCATCCCCTCGCGTGCGACTCGACTCCTCCAGCAATGCGACCCTCAAGGAGTATTTGCAAAAGACAGCGGGCCTAGGACCCAACCAACCAGTCAGCCCAGTGGCACACTGTCTGGTGGGCAAGCACGTGCTCTCTGTGGATATGTTCAGTAAGGATCATCTCAACGACATCTTCAATTTGGCACAGTTGCTCAAGTCACGTGTCACTAAGGATCGACCCGTCGACGATCTCCTTCGTGGCAAGATCATGGCCTCAATTTTCTATGAGGTAAGCACAAGGACTCAGTGCAGCTTTGCAGCAGCAATGCAACGCCTCGGCGGACGTGTCATCAACATGGATCAGGTCACATCGTCCGTTAAGAAGGGCGAGACTTTGGAAGATAGCATCAAGGTGATGGCCAGCTATGCAGATGTCATGGTGCTGCGTCATCCTGAGCCGGGCGCCGTTTCGGTAAATCCACACTTTAATATAAAGATGAAGAACATATTTGTATAGCTGCTCTTATCCTTGCAGCGTGCCGCCTCTTATTCCCGCAAGCCTCTGATTAATGCCGGCGATGGCGTCGGTGAGCACCCAACCCAAGCACTGCTCGACGTATTCACCATACGTGAGGAAATCGGCACTGTCAATGGTCTAACCATAACCATGGTCGGTGATTTAAAGAATGGACGTACAGTCCACTCGCTGGCTCGTCTACTCACACTCTACAATGTCACGCTGCAATATGTCTCTCCCGAGGGCCTGGGCATGCCCGAGAACATTATGCGCTATCTGGAGATGCGCGGCGTCACACAGAGAACCATACGCACAATAGAGGAAGCGTTGCCAACAACCGATGTCCTCTATATGACTCGCATCCAACGCGAACGTTTCCAGAGCGAGGAGCAATATCAGCGCGTAAGTGTACAAAAGGAATATATACTCGTATTTGGGAGAACAGACTTCATAGTGCTCTGAAGGACACTTGGCTTAGTCAAATGAGAATTCCTGCAGACAGATTTTCTATTCTATTCCGTCGGTGTCGAAGCACCTTTTCGTCTCCAGATGAACGGTCATTTTGTAGGACATTTCCTTCGGCTACATGTCGGTGTCCACATCAAAGCGTGTCCCCTTCGTACGCAGGACTTTTTAAAAGGGAACACCACCTTTCAGAAATCAAACGAACTCTAAAGCATAGCTATTTAAAATGTGTGTGTATGTATAGATTTTAAAACAAGAACTGTCTTTGGAGAATGGTTTTTCTCATAGGATTGGTATATTTTGAAATCTTCATGAAACTTATATAAGTATCATATTTTAAATACAAGTACATTTATAGTACACACATTTAAATATTATGTACCCCATCTTCCCTGTCTCTTTGTAATGGATGAGTCCCCTTGCTAATTGGTTAACTCGTTTTCTTCACAGGCCTGCGGCCACTTCATCGTAACGCCCAAGCTGATGACACGGGCCAGCAAGCGCACCATTGTTCTGCATCCTTTGCCGCGCGTCTTCGAGATCAGTCGGGACTTTGACTCGGATCCTCGGGCCGCATACTTCCGCCAGGCCGAGTACGGTATGTACATACGGATGGCTCTGCTCGCCATGGTCGTCGGATGTCGCAACTCGGCCCTCTGAATGGGGACGCTCATCTTTTCTTTTTTGTTTTTTGACACATACATACATATTTGTTTGCTTATGTATATTGTATTTTTTATATTATTATGCATATGTGATAGTTACAAAAAAAAAGTTTATATACAGGTATATAATAAAATAAACGACACTGTGGATTACAGAATGGTTCACAGATCGATATAGAATTGTGTTAGCTTAAGGTCTAGGCATCAGTCTCATGCGTTCATCACTTGCTCCCGGCTCTCCCTGCATTCGCTCTATTTGCTTTCCTAATACCGCTGCACCACAACGGCGGTTGGCCATGTCTCTTGTTGCTGCCCCTGCCCCTGGCCCTGTCTACAATCATCTGTTGCCTTGCACGTGCCACTCAAGCTTAAGGTGCTTTCGGCAAATGCTGCATTCAGATTGCCGGCTAGCGTTGATATCTGGGGCACACCCTTCATGGCCACGTCCTGCTCCCTGTCGGTTGTGCTGTTGCTGCACTGTCTGTAACAAGAAAGGAAGAGTAAAGTGAAGATGTTTTTTTTTTTTTTTTGGTTTACTCACTTTTTTTGCTTGCGACATGCCACCATGGAGACAAGCACCGCCAAAATGATGACGGCCGCCAGCAGACCCGCTAAACCAGCCACCATGGTCATCATGCAGTGCGGTTCGCCATCGGAGGTCACTTTGGTAACTGGCAATAGAGCGTGTTAGATTATTAGTGGCTGGTGGTGGAGAAGGGGAAGAACCGCTGCTCCACTTTTGCAACATCGCCGTCCTCTCCGAATCTGATTCAGACTTATGGCTCATGGCCAAGCTGCTTGGCGACTGGCGTTGAACTTCAACTTGATGTTGCTGTCGATGCCGATGTCGAGCAGCTTGTATTGATCGATGATGATTGCGTGTGTGGGCAACAACGTGACAACAACAGCAACAACAACAACAACAACGTGACGACAACGACAATGTTCGGCAGGTTTGTTTACCTTTCCCAAAAGGCATTGAATTCGATCTTATGTGCGAGTACGCAACAACGGACGCGTACTTGAGCCACTTCCGCTCGCACTACTTTCTAAGCCGGAACGTAATTGTACATATGTATGTGTCTAGCATGTGCGGAAGTGACCCTCCCCCACCAACAACCACACCCCACCCCCAGTTCACGCCCGAGGCAATATACTCACATGAATCCTCCACCACAAAGCGTTTATTAGTGGGCGCTGACTGTACATAGTTTTCCAATTCCAGTTCCATTTCCCTTCGCATGCTGCAATAAACAAGCAGTTGACAAACAATTAATCGCAAAACACCTGTATCAATTTTGTTACAACAATGGCAATAAATACACATTGCATACGACAATAAAAAGCAACAACTACTACTATATACATTTTCAATATTGCAGCAACATTCAAAGCCAATCAAGCAACCAAGCAATCGAGTTACCAAACAGCCACGCTCCACTTCATCTGGCACTCTGGGCCAAGTTACTGGGTCCGCTATTCCACTGTTAATTGTTGCCAAATCTTGCACGCTTAGCTGCAACTGCTAATTTCGACAATACAAGTATAACGCTGCTCTCTAGCTCTGCCCGCTAATTAATTGATTTTCAATGGCCCGCCTGCCGCTTCGCCGCCTCCGCGCACTTTCCGCTTATCACAGAGTGACTTTTTTAATTGATGACTGACTGCTGTTTCTGTTCTTGTTGTAGCTAATGATTTATTTGGGTTTAAATATAAGCTCATTTAAATTGTTCCAATGCTGATTAATACGCACAATTCTAGATCTTCAAAGACGCAATACATACTTGAAACGCTAAACGAGCGCAAGCATCTATGAACAGGCGGGGCCCACATTGGGGCGCTAAAATTGAGAATGAATTGTGTGAAACTAAAATAAAACACATTTTTCGTGTTCTCAACTCTTAATCCGAACTTTTATTAATCAATTAAATGTTGCGCATTGCATTTTCCAAAAAAAAAGAACAGATTTTAAAACTAATTCTGCTTCCTATTAACAAAATATCCTCAAGCAATCTTGTAAAAATATGAGAATGTTAGATACTTAGTTTGGTAGCATCTACATAAATAAACAAATTATTGTTTGTGTTGAAAAGCTGAAAATATTTTTAAAAAATGCACTTTTATAAAACTATACTCGCATCACCATATGGAAATAAATTGTTCTGTATGAGGAATGCAGCTGTTTTTGAAAAGAACTGTCAAGGCCCATTAATATTGAAATCTTTGAAGTAGGCACTGGATGGGTGTACAGTCTTAGCACAAATTGCCTTACCGGGAAGTCATTATTTGGAGAACTATAAGCTCTATAAGTGATGTATCACTTATTGAACAACAGAGCCTGATTTTACAACACGACTTGAACTGCCAAAAGGACATGAATGGGTTTACGTTATTTGAAGATCATGTTGATTTCCGATAACATATTTTGGTTTTTTAAACTATTTCGCATATGTTTATACATGTATGTCAAGGGAACAATTAGTTCCGTTTCTACTCCCGAACTCGACCAAATTATGCAGAATTAAAATGAATACACTTTTCACATCTCGAACAATACTGGAACTAAATAAAAACACTATTTGCAGGGCAAAATTATCATTCAGTTTCGTTTTTTCGAAATCAGATTCACAGGAGTTGAACGATTTTGGAGGCGGTACTAGGATATAGTTGTATTAGGCGTAACAATTTTGCAGGACAGTGCAAATGCTTTACAACGTTTGCATGATTTGCATTTAAAATAAAATAACTTACAAAATACAAATGCATTTCTATTCATAATTGCATGCAAATACGAGTATATATCCAATCGCTTTCTACATACAAATATATGTGTATATATATTTTCGTTATAGGTATATACATATGTATTTATGTGTGTTTGTATTTGTTGCAATATACATATTGCTTATCGGAGAAGCACTTAATGCTTAGAATCCAAATCGCTTTGGGCTCGCAACTACAAGTAAGTGGAAGTGTAGTAAAATTTTCGGGCACGATTTCTCAATTATTGCTGCAGTCGGACGCTGTTTGTATTATTAATAATACAATAATACAATTTATTTAATCGCTTGCAGTGCCGTTGATTTCTAATTTAATTGCGCAAATTAATGGCTATAAATAGCGGAATAGCACAACAGACTCCAGCATCAGATAACTCTTTGTGGGTGGTGGGTGGTCGGTCATTGGCGCAAAGGGCCGGAATGTTCGACCCCCCCCCCCCCACTCCCCACTCCCCAGCTGTCACATGCCACCGATTTAGCAATAGTTAACAGAAATAACAACAACAACAACAAAAAAGGGCTTCCAACGACAACAATTGCATAGCGGATAGCTTGACAAATGACAGTGATTAAATGCTACTGAAAAAGTTGACACGGAACGGAAAGTATTACGAATGCAGGCATTTGTTTAGAATGTTTATTATTATGTATTATTGTCAGTTGCGAAAATAGTTTGAAATGTATACGGAAATGATGTGGAGGTGTGCGCCAATTACTATGCCCATAATGCTTTAAATATCTTTTTTTGGGCCGCAAAGATAATGGCTTTGGCTTCGCTTGCTTACATTCGTGATAAAAATAATTCGACTGTGTGGCGGTGAATCATCAATTAATTGAAAATGTAAAAAGTGAATAGAGCTGGGCATATCTCTTCCAGATTGCCAGATTCTTGTACTTGCGTCAAACACAGAAGACAACCTTCGAAACCTTCAACCAAATGGCGACTGATAGATGAGTTTAGCGATGGCTGTTGGCGTGTCAATTCTGTGAACTCCAATTTCCCGATTTGTAACGCGATCGTTAGAAGACAATGAAAAGTACACATTAATTAAAAACCTTACCCCCTCTTTGGGGTCATTAAATCACCAAATATTTCATAACTAACAAGCAGTTAGATAATCACAATTTCAATTAATGTCATAACTAAACCTATAGATGAATGTTTTATGGAAGGAAGCAGCAGCTTCTTTCCTATGCCGATCTGAACCAAGTTCTGCCTTCCACTTGATCTTGAGAACTGCAATAGTTATAGCCTGAGGACTATTGATGGCTACGCCGATTTCTACTTACTATTTATAGTGGTAAGTACGAATTCTTTATTTTGAATGTATACGAACTGTTTACGCTATAGAACTGGTAGAGAATAGTTCCCTTCAAAAATCCATTAGCTTATTTATTCAATTTAAAATTTTACTGAGAAGCCACACTTCTGCAATCAACACTTGGGATATTAACGCCCAGTAGCTAAACTGATTAACTGATTAAAAAATTGAACGTAATCTTTATTGGCCGTGAACACAATTTATACAACAAATTAGTTGATTCGGATGATGCTTTAGATGTTTTGTTTTCTTCTCATATAGGATATACGAGTATATCCTACATTGGAGATGCAATTTTAAACTGAACATTTTGCTTAACCTTTCAAGCAATTAACAAGTTAACCACTGTGCATAATGAATGAAGAACAATTGACTGTAGGAAAAGTTTCTTAAAACCACATAATATATACTTCAAATTATGTTAATCGAGTCAGTATTTTCAATGAGAGTCTACCAAATATTGATACTTAGAATTGCTAATAGTCAAAAACTGAATGCAGATAAATACTGTCTAGTGAAGGAATATCAAAAACTAAATTTAAGGGCTTGGAAAGCAAACGCATTTATCGCATTTATTTATCTTTAAAACCATAAAAAGCCGAAAATAGTCTAAGAAAAGTTCCATCAGAACTCAATATTTGTTATGGAAAGAGTTCAAAAGTAAACCTAAAATAGCGATACTTTAAATTGTAATAGTCATTATTTTTTATTTGTTTTTCGAAAGCAATTCTAAGTTGTATGAGCAGCTAAAAGTCTGCTGAAGTCATTAATTTTTGCAAAGTGAAATCCAAACTAATTAAAACTTAAATACTCAAGATATTGAAAGTTATTCAATGGTGTAATCACACTTCAAATCGGAATAAATGTCCTTCTGTTATTTTAATCATAAGCTCGGTGCTTCTGTTATCACTTGAAAGTGCTTTGCGTAAGTCGGTTGTGCGGGTTTTTAAATAACTAATTTTCCAATTGGATGCTACTTGAGTTCGAGTATTCAGCTCTCCACCTCATACCCACTTACTCACTGAAAGTCTGCTGATAATTCGAACGACTTTGTGGCTCGCTGTGATGTTCTATTTAGTGATAGTTTTAGTTTTTGCTTTCTGCCTTGCTGGTTGGTGGTCGGGCTGGGTTTGGTTGGGTTGGATTGAGTTTTGGAAACTTAAAAAAAAAAGTATAAACTGTGTGAACTTGCGCCGCCGACACTCAGCGTACGACTAATGCGGCTTTGAGAAGCCAAAACGTAACTTTCGATTGCGCCAAAACCGAGCGTCGACGTCAGCTGAGGCTGAGGCTGTGGCTGTGGCTGAAACTCTCGCTGCCGATATGACGGCTACAGCTACGGCTATAGCTATCGGACGTACTTACTCGTACTTACTTACTTAGTTACTTAAGTTAGGCGGCAGCTGCGGCATGCATTTATAAGTATGTACAAGTATATACATACTGTATGCATGCTTACCTACATACATATATTTATGTACGTACTCGTGCATGCTTGTATCTAGATACTCGACAGTACGAGTATCTGTGTGTACGGGCATGTGCGACACTTTTCTAATGAGCTTAAATCTAATTAAAATGTAACGAACGCAACGAAATTGAAGCCCCCGAAAGCGATGCCAAGATTGAATGTCAAGTTACTTTCTGTGCCTCGAGGCCCCCGTCCGCTCGCTACTTACTCGTAGTATACATACATATGTTTGTATGTATGTATGTGGACCGATGCGGCATCAGAAGCGGCAAAGGCGCAGGCGCCTGCGCAACAACAACAACATCAAATTGTGCAACAACTGGTTTAGAAAATGCTCGCACTTTGTATTTTTGTGAAGATTGCTTTCGAGTCGCTTTTAATTTATTTCTTTAAAAGCGCTAATTGCTCAGACTATGTTATTTGTTGTTGTTGCCAAATTAATTAAAGCGATGCATGAAGAACAAACACACTTTTCCAGCACAACATTACTCATGATGAACAAGGTTTTTCGATTTCCAGCAAACTGATAACTGAAGCCAACTCGTATACGCACTCGAATGTATACTATATATGTATGTATGTAACATTTTACATTCCCCAAACCCGGAACATAGCAAAAGAATTTGCGGTACATGGGCGTCAACAGTTGCTCAACAGCTACGATTCTACGAAGATGATTCAATTGGACTCCCCCAACCACAGCCTCAAACTATAAACTGAACATCCGCTGGCAGCGTGAGGTCAAGTGCCCCTAAATTTTAGACTGTAGATTCAGGCAGTGCATATGATGAAGATTTCCATTCATGAAAGTTTCTAGTTAGATTCTAGTTTGGAAACCAAAGTAAACTTAATGGCACAATGAATCACATTTGTGGCGAAGTAATATGCCATTGCAGAATTTCAAAGAATAACTTAACCTACATATAAGCGATATCGGCATAGTGGTTGTATATAAAATTAGGCCGACAAATTTGTAACTGCATGAATAATTTCAAATAAAACATAAGCTAAAAAGAACACACACCTAAAATTAATTAATATTAATATAAAGTGTGCACTATATTTTCAAAAGTGGTCGCATATAGTGTATCTCTACAGTCATAAAAATCTCTCCATTTAACAGCATATTAATGGCAATTTTTGAAAAATAATTTAATTGGAGCTAAACTTAAATTTTAGTCTGAAATTTTATCAAAGAAACTAAGCCTACAAATTCGTTGCTAAAAATGTTTATCAGTCATTACTATGTATATTCTTAATTTAACATAAATAATTTTTCTTAAACTTAAGACCAATGCGTTGTAAAACCTTTGGACTGGAAAGTCTCTTAGCTCTTCACAAAGCATTTCCTCCTCCAATACCAATAGGTTGTGAATTGTTGGTAAAAACCCCAAAGGGCCTTAAAAATTAACCAATAAAAACCCCTTTTTTTACCGAGCTCTTCCTTTCCCTTCACAGAGCTGGCATATGACCAAGAAATTGTTTATTTATTGACGAAAACCTTAAAGGTCTAGAAAGATGACCATTTTAGCTGAGCTGTCTCTCTGTTTTTTCCTAAGCTTTCCCGTTTCGTATATAAGGCATAATTTCGATGTGTTTAAAGCCAATAAAACCATATTAAATGAAAAAAAGAAAACTATATCTATATAAGCTTTATAAACCCGTCATCTTTATCACCACAAAGTCTTCAACATTTACGATAAGGCACTGTTCTACAAAAAAAAAAAAACTTAATTATCGCCTAATAACTAACAAAATAGCTTTCCATTAGTGCATAATTACTTCTATCAATCACTAGCTATTTTACACTTGAAATTAAAGTTACTTGTATGTATGTATATTGGAGTTGTATTTTGTCGTTGATTTTTGTTCCATTCAACCGCCCATGGACAATTCTTTGAAGCAACAGTGCTTCGACTTTCGTCAAAATGCAGATGAGATTGTATTAAGTATTTATAATTTTCATGAATTTTAGTTAACTTTCCATTTCTGTATATACTTATAGTATATACTTGTATAATTTAGTATGTACAGAAGGTGTGCAGCAATCAGCCCAAAAGTCGCGTTGCTCAGTGTTTGCGACATCTGCCATGAACGGTCCGGTCCACTATTGAAATTCCGTACAAATAGATAGATGGATATATAGGTAGATAGATAGATATAGATACAATAGCAATTGGTTTCAATAGTGCTATCTGTCTGTGTCTGTTATTTGTTTTTGTTGCTTTCATTTAGAACAACGCACACGTCGTCACTTTAAATAGTTTTTTGCGTCTGTTTTTGTTTTGAAAGCTTATTTTGTCCCATGAATTTGCAATTTTTACCGCTGTTGTTATTGTTTTATGGCTGCTGTTGTAGTTGTAGTTGTTGTTGTTTTCATTTCGAGTAGTTAGCCCTTTAGAAGTCGTATTTGATGACACTTCAAGATAGAAATAATAGCATTCTAGTACCGCTTGCACAACCATTTTCACTTACGTTTGAAGACAGGCCGTCTGGGTAATTCAATTAAGATACTAAAACGTTGCTCTTCAAACAGAAAAAGCCGGTTTGCAAATTTAACTTGAAAGTGTACTTGTTTGGCGAAATGTGAAATATGTAACTACGAGTATAAATGTATTGCATATATTCTTCATCATTTTCACGGAATAAAATATATGAAAGAGTAAGTCAAATCCTTTTGCACATCTATCAGTCTTTCAAGAGCAGAAGAGCTCTTCCTTCCTTCCCCGCGAGACAACTTAAAAGTTTTATCAATTTATATATACTATATACTACTATAAAAGAACAGATTAACTTGAACTTTGGATGATTAATTCCTCCACTAATCAGGGGGTTGCCTTTTCTACAACCGATTCTTTGCGGATAAGACATTAATCGCTCTATTAAAACCGATTATATTATATTATATTTATAGATAAAGACCTCTTCATCATATACTAGTAGTATATTTACGTTCGCTGTATTTTAAGTATTATTAATCTTTAATCAATTTACTGCAGATAATGGCATGTCTTTCCATTTTCTCTATGAATATACAAATCTCTCTAAGTTGACAGCTTTTTGTATATCATTATAAAATTATATGTATATAACGGAAGCTTTTAAAGTTTTGAAATTTCCTCACACTCTTCCTTTAAACTTAGCTGTGAACTGTCAGGTATAATTGTCTATATAATATACACATTTATTATGGTTCTTCACACAAATCATTTATATTGTGCCATTTCTATTGCCCAAATATAGTCGGAATTACATTTATTTATTATTATTAAAGAATCTCATTTTAAAGCACAACAAAAACGCACAAACCTTGACCGGTGACCAACAAATTACTGACACATGTTGCACTGACCGCAATTGATGTTATTGTTGATGTTATTAGGTTGATGAATCTCGGTTATATTTATCTCTGACGCTTTGTTTTTGTTGATTCCCTCTATTGTTGTTGTTGCTGTTTTTGTAGCAACCAAAAATAGAAATCGCCAAATGTCGCGCAATAAAAAAAAAACAGCACACACGGGGTATAAATTTTAGACGCGCACTTTCACTAAATAAGTTGTATTTCACCAAGTATTGTGGGTGGGTTTAATCGCTCTTTAATTTGAAAACTAGATGCTCTGAACTGTTTTGAGTTTCAAACGCACGAAATTATTTTTTAAAATTCAACGATGCGCAAAAGTGGTCAGAACTGAAGACGTCAGAGGCGTGCGGCCCAATGATTTCGACCAATTGGCTTTAAAAATAAATAAAAGAACATACATACATACATACATATGAACAGAAGAAAAACATATTTGAGCACATTTGTGTGTGTGTGTGTGTGTATTTATGTAGACACAGATGTGCAGTTAAAGATCGCATTTTGCGCAAACAGATAAGCACAAACAGATGCTCGTTGACGCTTTTTGACAGACAGGTGGCGCCACATCTTGCTTTGGCAACACTGGCCAGTAACGGCAGCCTCGCATGCGCAGCAAACGTCACGTGCAAAAATCGTGACAAGACGAACAAATTCCCAAGCATCTCTTCAGATTTACATGCTTCTCTACCTGTGTACATACTATGTACATACTTTGTTGCATAAGGTGCATTTCCAAGCTACACTGCCATAATCATATTTCCAATTAAACAACAGCATCAGAACTTGATTGGAAATTAAATGATATCTTAGAGTCGACCAACTACATGTATTTGCAATTAAATCTGCTTCTTTCAGTTGACTACGTTTTTTATTTAGGTAAAGGTATTATAAACCTCAATACCAATATTGTCATATCAACATTAAAACGAATTTTAAGTATTTTTCTTTATTCCATCTTTCTAATGAACCCTTTTAACTACTGCAACAAATTTTAAAGACTCTAAAACTGAAGTCCAAATTTATCAAATTTTAGAAGTATATTCTGCAAATGAAACATATATTTTAACGAGTCCATTTTTTTCATGTTTAACGAACTATCCAAAGTCGAAAAGCTATTTCTTATACATATGTATGTACATATGTATGTGTGTATGTTTGCTGTAAAAAGTATAGTACATGCACAGTTGCATACGAATTGTAATGTACATATGCTGGTTGTCTATTTGAGCCAATAACCGTTTCCAATTATTGCAACATTTGTAAACGACGTTAACGTTGACGTCGCCGTTGCCGTTAGTGTCGTATCTGTCTGTATGTACATACATACTATATACATATGTATACATATGTATACATATGTATGTACTTATGCAGCTGACAGCAACAACAATTGCAATTGTTTGTGATAAGAGCGACGTTAATTTTATTGTCAAAAACGTGAAGTCTGCCCTGCGCGCTTACTTCCAAATACATACATATGTATGTATGTGTACCTATGATTGTATGCATTCAAAAAAACAGTTCGAATACCTACTAATATTTAGCTCTGCTGCCACGCTTTGTTGGCAAACATGTGGGCAGTTGGGCAGAGGAGTGTGGAGATGAGTTTTGCAAACAAGAGAGGAGCGGGGGTGTAGAGGAGCCGGACAGAAGAGAGCCGAGCTTGCAGATCTGACCGTTACAATGCAAACGTGTTTCGCTCTTCCCTCTCATTCTCTTCCGGCATGCGAACGCGGCGTCGCAATAAAAAGTAGCAACAACAATGAAAATAACAATCATAGGAATCTCCGAGAACATACGTACACACATACATACATACGCAGGTATCACTTAACGCCCCATTGATCAGAAACAGTCCAAGCAATTATTTGCAAGCTAACGTAACAAATTTCGTCTACACCTAGGTAAGGCACAATAGAAGTGCCTAAAAACTTTCCATTAATAAATCTTTTCATACACTTCCTTTTCTGATTCTTACTGGGTACGTACGTTTCTATATAATAGAAATATACATTGTACACCATTATTTCGTGCAAATAAAAGTCCTGCAACCTAATCAGTAGCGTGAATTTATATAAATATGTATGTATGTACATAAGTACTCATGTATGTAGTTATTAATAATTTTAATGTGAGAGAGACAGAGAGAGTTATAGATAAATATTAAACACTTATTGAGAATTAAAAATTTGCTAGTGGAACACAATTGGAACACAAAAGATCTATTTAAAATGTAGATTCAAGTCTAAAAATATTTAAGTTTAAAAAATATTACAAAGCTTCATACAGTGCCTAGTAATACTTAAGCTCTATAGAGTATCTTATTTTCATCTTTCTTACGATGAACAATATCATTCTAGCACGTGATTAATCAATATTATATAAATAAACTACTATAATGATTGTCTTTATCAGTTTTGTTTAATTTTGTTTTTCATTTTTTATCAAGCGTATGTAGACAAATTATCATTTTTTAAATACGTGCATATGTACATACGTACGTATGAATGTACATATATGTATGTACCAGATATCTCAAGTACCAACCAGAGAAAGAATAGTGTTTACGTAAATTACTGACCATCTCTCAATGAAATTTGTATTCCAAGTTTGTAATGAAAGTATACGATGCAGGATATTTTTTCTGTGCACCCAACTCCTAAATTTTCTAAACTCGAAACACTGTTTACCTTTAACCTTATAACACACCCCATTTTTTATATAACTTCTGGATAATTAATGACGACCACAACAGTTTTTAAATTCAAAATGGAATACCGTGATTATGAAATGTGAAAAAACAACTTAAATTTCTTAAATGTGGGAATGATCGCGTGACGTCATTTTATTTCATGTGCCAATTACCCGCTTCACTGAACTTTGTTGAGCCGCTCCCGTTTACTTATTGAAAGCCTCTACGCCAAAATGCAACCAATTTCTCCTGCAAGTTTTAATTCAATTCGTAATCACAATCAATTTTTGGTTTTTTTTTAAAAGTCTATTACAGATTCTTTTGGATCCCCTTATCATCAACCAATACCTTTCACTTCAAAAATGTTTTTTTGTATTTCAGAGCTTTTAAGCGTCCATTTTAAACCTTTCGGAAACTCCTCCACATACCGCCACCATAAATCCAGACACACCCTTTTCTACATACACGTATGTACATACATATATACCTGCACTTTTCCATACACATCGTCGTAAAACTTGTCATATCTGGTCTGAATATGCACTTCACTTCCTGGCTGAATAGTGTGGGGAAAATATGTGAGTATGTATGTATGTATGTATGTCTCCACCTACTTCTTGTGCGGGACAACAGCACGAATGCTGAACATTTTTGAAATGCTTCCTTAAAGCCAATGGTCGCACGCGCTCGTACATAAGAAATGAATCAATAGGCGTTGAGCCCAAAAGACGCCAATAAGTTGGCGGCAGTTTGTGACAATTTCTCAACCGATTTGCCGCCTGACCACTTTTAGTCAAGACCAGGGACATGGCTCGATTCGGTCCAGTTCGGTTCGATTCGATTCGAACGCAGGCACTTGGCCTTTAAAAGTGAAAACATGATTTTCTCAGAGGGAAATGTGAAAAAGTTGAAAAGTGGCTTACAACAAGATCAGAGCAGTGTTATGTGTACTTGTGCGTGAGCTTACTACTCGAATTAGAGTGACCATTTGTGAACAAGTTCGGCCGTGTGATGCGTGCCTGAACTTCCGTTTCCCGCTACAAGAAAAAATTGGCGCACCAACATAGATATTTAAGCGCAAGCGCTGTTCCAAGCCGGCCACATACGAACCACAATCGTCCATCCATTCGCAATGCTAGCGCCCACAAAGCTGTTCCCAGTGCTCTGCCTGCTGGTTGGTTGGAGCAACTTGCTGCTCGCCCAGCACCTGCTCATCGCGCGTCCGCAACGCTCGCTGTATGGCAGCGCCCCGCTCGGTTGGAATACTATTGGTGGTGGTGGCATCAATCCGATTGGATTGGGACACATGAGCAAGGATGAATTGCTGACGTTGCTGGATGCCTGGCGAGAGGTTGAGGGCGATACCCATAAGCCGGCTGAGGAGGAGCCAGAGCCGGAACCAGAGCAACCATCTGCACCCCCACCACCACCACCACCACCACCATCGCCACCAGCACCCCCTGCCCAGCCACAACGTCCTGCCTCTAGCCATCCACTGACCGTACGCCTGCCCGCCTTCGTGCCCATACAGCTCTCCGCTATGTACACAGCACCTCAAGCTGGTGTTGGTGGTGGTACCGGTGGAGGCTTTGCCGAGCTCAGCGGCATCTCTGCGCCCGGAGCGTCAACTGCACCGGAGGCAGCTCACCGAATCTTCCGCTTTATGCCCTTGCCATTGGGAGCTGTCCCGCCAGCTGCGCATGCGCATCCGTTCGTGGTACGCAACACGCTGGACAGCGTCGATGCGGGCACCTCACCCACTGCCAATCGGGTAAAGCCGAAGGTGAAGACTGCGGGCAGCAACAGCGGCCCCACCACAACTACATTCTCAGTGCCCGCCTCCCCTCCCATCAGACCGCGGTAAGCTTTTGTCTTGGCAGAAGAATTCTTCGACTATTATTTTGCTTTCTGTTGTAGATTTGTGATGGCCCCACCACCAGCACCTTTTCTGGGGCGTTTACCGGCTCCCTTGGAGCTAGTTCCCTCATCGCAGCTACTAAGCAATTGGCACTAGACTCCATCAACAAACATCATAATAAACTCGTTCCAAAGTAATCAAATCGATCCGGCCATTCAATGCAGACAATTTTCACCGATTTACCGATTTGAACCTGGCTTGGAAACTAGAAGATACTCCGCCAAACACACACTTTCTATTGTACCACATATTTAATATTAATAACATTATATTAAACTCTTTCTTTTAAACCAACCAAGTTTCAAATATAGGGAGAGAGAGGGAGAAAGGTCAGAAGTCTGAATAAATTCAACAAAAATGTCAAACAAGAGGCGCAAATCGAAAATTCCCGACATCTTGGATGATTTCTTGCAAACATACATATATGTATTTCTGAGACCCATAACAAATGAAAGGTCAACGAACAAAATTGGTTCAGGCACCGAGTACCTGAAAATTTTTAATTATTTATTATAGAACAGATGACGAACCTAGATGAGAATACAGAATAGAAATTTATATATAATTTAGACAAATTAGAAGTAGCTGAAATACCCAAGAAACCAACTCGATGGCGTATTATTACAGTGATTATTTCTAATCTGTATTAGTAGATTAAATTCTTTTGGGGTATTTGTGTTTACATTAAATTAAATTACAAGTATATTGTCAAAAATGTTTTTAAAGCATTCGTGTAGCATGGTTTGGGGCGGTAAAATTTAATTTTAACATTTAAAATCTCACCTTGCAAATCAATAGATTTTTGTTCGCCTAGTACTTCAGATTTTGGATTTTCGCAAACGCAGCCGCTTTGGCCTTCAATGAAACTAAATTTTTTTTATTTATGGTTCCGCTTTATATGGACCTACTTGTATAACAAACCTCTACCCCATAATGCCATATCGGTGCTATGCAGTGGACATAGATAGACAGCTCTTTTTTCTCTTTTGGTTGATCATTTTGATTTTTCTAAAAACGTATCTGAATTATTCTCGTCGCCTATAAACAAAGTATGATTCTAGAATTTCGGCCGATTTGACAGTTTTATATTTATCACAGGAATCGGAAATTTTAAATGTATACCAATCTCAGCTAATTTGCAAATTATTCGAAAACCAATAACGAAATCCTTAGTTTTGGCCCTGCGGGCAAATGGTATTAAGAAAAGTAGCTCGGCATGTGTGATATGTGTCCTAAGAGCGCTCCCATGGGCAAAAAAGTGTGTTGCAAGCTTGGCCAGTCGTTGAAGCTGGCGGAAAAGTGCGATAAGGCGGCCAGCGCAAATCCGCGGCGGTTAGTGGCTCATGTGGCGCCAAAAGAGACAAAGGATGAGGAAACTGATGCATCCCTTAACGAGTCGGATCTGTGGTATGGCAACGTGATCAGAGCAACCATTGTCGAGGTTGATCCGATAACAGACGGACCAGTGGTACGCGTCGAGACATTCTATAAGCCACCTTGGCATCGTTTTCTCTTTAATCGTCACGCCCTGCGCCGAATTCCAAAGGCGCTAGATCTAAGCCGGGCTCGCCATCAACAGGACTCCGTACACTCCAGTGAGCATCCATTCGAAAATGCTGCAACCACTCAGACAGCGGCCGGTGCAGTATTAAAGGTTCTGTGGCGGTTTGGTCAGCCGGCGTTAGAGCTATTAAATACGACAAGGAAGAGGATTTCCGTACCAGTATCCGCTGTTACGAGCAGTGGACTTGCACTACAGCCTAGACGTGTGGTGGCAATGACTGATCTGTTAGTAATTCACCACATCGGCTTGCAAACTGGAGACTCACTGCAGGCGTTGAACAACAAGCCACCGCCCAATAAAATCATGGTAGATAGGGCCATTTCAGCTGTTTTGTTGGACACTATGTCGACATGGGACAGCCATAACAACAGGAGACAATTCCGCTGCGCTAATTGTGGTGCATTGGAAAATGCAGAAGATGAAGAAAACTTAACAAAGTCCACGCAAACTGAGTCATGTAGCTATGTTTCGAACTTGGATAGAACTGTGCTGGCTGAAAGGCTAAACATGTATTCAAAAATGATAGCCCAACAGATGAGTGAGGTAAAGACAAAATCCTCAACAACTAGCGGAGAGTATTTTGTACGACCAGGACGACGAGGACATTCGGTGCCTCATCCCTGGACCACATCTTCAACCAGTGGCAAGACGGCGTCGAGTATAATGATGACAACTTCGCCAACTTCAATTCACAGCCTAATGGAAACAATGGAATCGTTCGACTCAGACAAATCTGTTGGGCCACAAGTTTCGACTGATTCGTGTGACGAAGGCTCTGACCAAACTCCGTTGGTTGCAACGTCCTGTACAGAAAGCAGTAGTTTGGAGAAAATACTTGCAGCAAAAAAGGTATTTCAGCATGTGGATGATCTGTCAGAAGACGATTCCTTTGAGCCGAGCTTAACAGATTTGGAGAGCGTTTGGACAACATCAAGCATAACCAGCTATGAGGATTGTCCGAGCCGACCCAATAGCTTAGGCACCAAATACTGTCCCTCTGTGCCGCACATGCCTACGACGAAATCTATGTCAAGTTGGCAAATTAATATTCTAAAAATGCTGAGAGCAGGGGATTCGGGCCCAACGACTTCAACTTCCCCTACAAAATACTAATTACGGTCATTTAAAAATGCTCTCGTGGCACAAAATCGGGCGCCAATATTAGAACGGTGATTTATAACACTGATTGTAACAGCTGATGTATGCGGCTGAATACGATGCTGCCACATAATATGTATGGACTGGCACAAGCAGAAAATGTCTTAAAAGTGCTTGATGTGAATATATTTATAGACGTTAACAAAGTAGTTTGTCCGCAAAATTGTTTGTATGGTCGTTAGACTTTCGTTGTTAAGCACTTGGGCCCAGAATAAATGCAATTATTAGAAATTTTAACCTGATGGCAACTCTTTGCTTTCCCGCCTTTTTCCATGAGCGAAAAGAAAAAGTAGAGTATTTTACAACGCAGCGCATTGATTGGGCTGAATTAATTTTCCCTAAGCATAATAACCATCAATAGTTTATTGACAAAATAGAAAAAACTATAAAACTGAAAGAACAGCGACGACTGAGCAACAACATTACTCAATGCATGTGATTGTAATTTTTGGGCAGTTAGTGAAAAGTAAAATCTTGGTTTGTCAACGTTGTTGTTGGTGTTGTTGTGGCTGAGTGCCGTATAGTGTTTTCGTTCGGAGCGCGAACGCGCAGAGTCTTTGGAAAAATTAGAAAAAGTCGTCCGGAATACGCACCCCGCAGCGACAGGACGGAAAAATGAGCAGCGAAGCCCAGGAGGTTGGCGCTGAGGTGGTCGCCAGTGCTGATGAGGACCCCGAGAAATTGAGCGCCAAATATGAGAATTTGTGCCGTGACATCAACTTGGACAAAAACACCGAAGACACTGCATTCAAAATGTATCAGAAAGTAACCAACAATTTTTCGTTGGAGGTGCGTACACCACATACATATGTATGTATGTATGTATATAAGTATGTGTGTACAACACCCACCCAAATGCATATTTGCAGTTGCGTGCACCCACACACATACACATACATAGGTGCCGACATATGTATTTATGGATGACATTTGGTGTTGTTGCTTTTGTTTACAGGGTAACGAAAAGCACTGGATGGCGTGTGCCATATACACGGCCAGTCGTCAATCACAAACGCCGACGGTCAGCAAACAGGATACGGTTATGGGGAGCTGTCTGTCACTGAACAATCTGCTACGGAGCTGCCGTATGAGGTACGTTTTCCCTTCATCCACCTCCTTTCACCCAGTGACTAATCTCTATTGCTATCTCTATCGCACACACTGCATTTCCAGCATATACGATTTTAAAACAAAAATTAAACAATGGTGTAGCATGGCGAATATGTCAGAAGAATTCCGTAAACAGATTGACAATATGGAACGAAAGTTTAGCATCACACTCACACTGTTCAAGAACTACAGAACGATATTCGAAAGAGTGTTCTCGTGTCCACCCAACGAGAAGAAGCACAACAAGTATAGGTAGGACTTATATATTGTTTACCTATGTATGTATATACATATGATTATCAATTTCTATTTATGTATATACTGCAGCGCCTTGCACTCCAAATGCTCGTACATTAAGCTAGATGATATTTGCTGGCGCCTCTTTCTGTGCGTCAAGAATCAAAAGCCATCAGCAACTGTCGATTTGGTCACCTCATTCAATCTTATGATGTGCTGCATCGATCTGATCTATGCCAATGTACTGGCCGAGAACCGTACTGATCTCATCAATCCCGACTTTCCGGGCGTACCCGAATTCTCTGAAGCCAAGCCACGCGATCATTGTATACTCAGTCATTTCTGCGATATGGCGGATGAGGCCAAAGTAATGAAGAACACTGTATTCAAAAAGATAATCCAAGCATTTTTTGAAGCCAAAGTAAGTGAAACAGAATTCTCAATCACTGAAACAACTCTAATCCAGTCCACTCTACAATAGACGATTTATGGCAACGAGGAGACGATGCTGGGGCTGCTGTCAACCGAGAATTTCGAGCGCAATCACAAGTCGTTGAACATCTCCTACGAGCAATATGTGCTCATGGCGGGTGAATTCGACGAACGCATACTGGCTGCCTATCACATGGACGCTAATGAGCACACAAATCTGAATGATCAGGCCTTGCGTCCACCAGTCACGCCACTGACGCGCCAACAGGATTTGCCAGCCATGTCCGATCGTAATTTCGAGCCTGTAGCCCATGCCACAAGCAATGTGAAGCATTTGAGCGCCAAATTCACTACCCAACCCACAGACTTCGTTATGTAAGTGGAAAACAAATCGAATTCATATGAATATCCATACACCCATGGCTAATTTAAAAAGAAAACAGTATGGCAAGTGACTTAAATTAATACTAACAAGAAAGGGACTAATCCAAAAGCAAATCTAGCGAGTCCGTCCATACGTTTTTTAATATTTACAGTAACTTTTCAATAGATATTACATCTCACAAGATCTGCTTCTATTTGGTAATAATTTTTCCATTAAAGTGGTAATAATACGAATTAAAAATGATGCCAAATCCATCGTCATATTATTGACTATTGAACTGCATAATATGTTATATCATTTGAATATCGTTCCAGGCAAGCCGGTGACGAAGTGATTCACAAAATGCTTGAAATGATTGGAAAAATGAAGCAGAGATTCACTACCGAATTTCCCATTCGCAGCGAGGCGGAGAATCGATTTAAGCTGGCCATGTCGGTATATTTCTCATTACTCCATCACATATTGCTTGCCGAGAAAAACAACAAGCCGAACATTGATCTCAAGAAGAACCTGTCCCACGACATGTTCAATAACACGCTTATGGCCTGCTGTGTGGAACTGGTCCTGGCGGCGTACAATACCGAGCTGAAATTTCCCTGGGTTCTAGACTGTTTCGGCATCAACGCCTTTGAGTTCCACAAGATAATCGAGATTGTGGTGCGCCATGGCACCCATGAAGGTCGATTGACACGCGAGCTGGTAAAGCATCTAAATTCGATCGAGGAGACATGTCTGGAGCGCTTGGCTTGGCTTCGAACCTCGCCCGTTTGGGGTATGATCGCAGACGTGGAGACGCTGCCCACAAGCGCCGAGGTGAACAATGACAGGTCTGCTGGCGCTCTGCAAATCTTCCTGCGTAAGGTCTATCTGTTGGGTTGGCTACGTATACAGAAGCTCTGCGCCGAGCTGAACCTTAAGGACAAGATGCCCGACAAGATCTGGACCATATTCGAGCATTCGATAAGGGTGAAAACGGAATTAATGAAAGATCGACATCTCGATCAAATCATAATGTGTGCAATCTATATTTATATAAGAGTAAGTGTCTGATCACACAATGCATCTAATACCATAAAACTCACGTCTCCCGCTTGCATGGTTATTCTTCATTCATCATGGCTATGATTTTTTTTTCTTTTTCTTACAATTATGATTGGACCCATTGCAAGTCCCTCTACTCCTACTGCTCCTTCTCCATCCCGATTGTTTGACGAATTTTTACATTAATTTTAGTGCAATGAAAAGTTACTTCAACAATTACCAATCTTATCAGTTTCTACAATAACATTATATGAAAATCTAATATTAAATCGAAAACATACATATTTTCATCAAAAATGTAAAACAACATCGGTTTCGAAGTCATTCCTTTTCCTTTCCTATGCAATGCTAACTTTTATCTTATAAAATACAATTGTTCTTCATAGATCAAAAAATATCATACATATTTGATTCTGAATACTGCTTCAGAATATGAACTTTTTTATTAAAATTTTATATGAAAATTAATGAATAGTGTGAGGAGTATCAGCTTGTCAGCAAATTACCATTTAGTTATGCTATTTAATCAATCTACCAACTATGACTGATCTAAACTATAATTTCTAGGTAACTAAAATGCAGGATCCTAAGTTCAGCGACATAATGCGTTCCTATCGCAATCAGCGGCAAGCCGTGAATAGCGTCTATCGTGAGGTGCTCATCAAAGATAACGACGGCAAACCCGAGTACAAGGACATTATATATTTTTATAATTACAACTATGTGCCCGAAATGACAACCTGGTCCATTGAAAATCTAAATAAGAACTTGGATGTAAGTGGTGCCTTTGGGTTTAACTGTTTAAACATTTATTTCAACGAATTCCTTTCCAGCGTTCGGATTTATTGCTTTCGCCACACCCCATCGAACGCCAATCGCAACCCAAGAGGCTAACAAGCGGGCTTTACGTATCACAAATGAGCAAAAACGAGTTCCAGCCCTCGCCAAATGATGATGTCTACAGTTTTCATTGCAGTCCGGCCAAGGTAAGTTAGGATTACTTTTTAAAGATTTTTGAAGGTCCCCCCATTACATTAATATTTGCAAGTATTTTTAATCAACAAGCGATCATGTTCTGAGCTTTTTTTTTTAAAGTCGTGATTTTTACGATCATGCACAGCTCTACTTGCATTTGCAAACTCAAATGAATTGAAGAAGCTATTCCTAATATTTTTCCACCTTTCCCTTTCTCGCAGGACTTGCAAAAAATGAACGAGAAGGTGCGCGGGGGCAAGCGGTTGTTGAACTTTAACGAGGACTCGCCTCGGGAAATGTCTTACCATTTGAAACAACTGAAGACCGTCAGGGATGATCGCGATACTGAGTGCAAATAGAGATAGACGACGCAAAGCGAATCGGTTGCTCGATCCGCCTAATCTCACACAAACAAACACAGACACACATCCACCCACACAAACTCCCACACACACACACACCTTTGTGAACCTGGTTTTGTAACTGGCCATAAGCCTTCCATTTAGTAGTTGTTTTATAAATTTTTTTATAATTAATATTTTATTTTTTTTTAAATTGCCATTACTTCCATCCCTTCTTCTTTAATGTAAAACGTGCCTGTATTCCTTTTATATATTTTAATTTTATTATATTGTAACAAGCGCGTCGTCTCCATTTACCATATGCTTATGTACAACACAGACATATACTGAAGATATATAATATAGTTGCTTCGGTGTGTGTGTGCGCGCGACATACGCATTTTTTTATTATTGGCAACTTTTTCAAGCCAACCATCCACCCACCCACACACCTTCCATCCCATTCGCGTTTATACAAATCGCGCCTAACTTAACATTAAAGAAATTTTTAGCAAAGAACCGAAGAAATCCCTAGATGTTACTATCCCTAAAATTAAAAGAAAGGAAATAGAAACTAGCAAGTTCGTAGTTGACGATATATAGTACACACATACATTCGACAGATCTACGACCGTTTTCGCATAACCATACCAATATTCTATACATATGTGTATAAAATCTATCTATATAAAATCTATAAAACAAAAAATTAATAAAATATTTGACCAAAACGAGTCTATGTTTCTTTTCTCCCTTTAGATTTTCACCTAGGAATAATTTTTGGCTGTTACATTCTTTTCTGAACACATCGATTCCAGACTTCATGTCGCAATACAATATAGTACATGTACTATAACTTAAAATTCACCACTAAATATGGAGTCCTTTCAGAAAAGCTTAAACCTTTTGGAACAGACTGCCCTTAAACCAATGAATCGGAAAAGTATGCTAAGTTAGGTAGGAATTTACAATTAGCTTTTAAAAAGTATACGCTTGGGAGCTTTCTCCAGATTTCTCCGACCCTCAAAGCTTTATTCTCAGAAGTCGTTGTGCGTTGCAGTCAGCGACATAAAAGGATATTCAACTCTTTTTAATAGTTTCCAGTCGTGCCGAATTAAATATTATTATTATGTTATACGACATCGATACATCGGAACAACCTTGTCGTTTCAAAGGTTCTGCTGTGGTTCCAATAATTTTTCATCAAACGCATACATAAATGTGCTTGTTTTGATTCCGTTTCATTTAATCGAATTCAGAAATGGGAACAACAGCTATAGTCGAAATTATATTCGTTTGTTGGAATAAACCTGCCATGTAAAATTTGATTTGATGGCACACAACACTTTCGATTCCAAGTCCACTGTTATTCAGCAAATGCTTTAATTCTGATTGTGATAACATAAGTATTAGTATATACAAACATACATATATCGATTAAATTAAAATAACATAGAGATGAAGGTGTTGGTATTCTAACGCTAAAGCACCGTGAGGCTCAACCCTCGAGACGTACTGCCTTCAAAATACTGGCGAGGGCCGTGCGTTGCTCACCGCTGAGAGATTGCATGCGCTGCTGGAGTAGGGGAGCACATGTGTAGAGGGGGGCCGCTTTTTCGGGTACAATGCGGTGCGCCACTCGTACCCAGGTGCCGGAGACGACGTCCAGCTGGCCCTCAAGTTCATTCCAGCAGCCGGGCAGGTCCTCGGCTCGCGCCAATTCCAACAGATGGGCAATGGCCAGACAGAGCTGCTGTTGCAGGGCATCCCGATGATTGTATTCCTCGAAGCTCTCCAGTGCATTAGAACGCTCGGTGGCCTCCAGGAGCGCACGCCACACAGTGCCAAAGTGCTGGCCGAAATCCTCACGACCCCTAATATGCAGCAGCACACTGGTGGCATTGATACGCACCTTGAAGTTGGCATGTTGCACCATCAGTTGGCAAATTGCCGGGTAGAGGGTGGCGGCCGTTGCATTTCCCGCGGCGAAGAGCGCTCGACACCGCACTAGACTGCCAATGGCATAGCAAGCATTCCACTTCACCTTGGCGCTTCCAGCGGCACGTGCACAATCGATCAGCTTGTTGAGAGCGCGCTGCATTAGATCGCGCACCTCCGGCTTCTCCTCCGGTTCCCCCCGCTCCGGCAGGCTCAGAAGACGCAGCAAGTTTCCCAAAGCACGGACTCCATTGGCGCGCACCTTGTCGTGATCGCTGCAGGCGCTCGTTGCGCACTCAATAAGGCGATAGAGCAGCGGAGTTGAGATGCGCTCCTTCGGCAACTTACTGGGAAACTCCAGCAGTGGCGTCACCAAGGCATCACTTATATTCCCCAAAGCCCAGGCGGCCTTTGTGCGCACCAACAGCTGTGGATCACCAGCTAAGCGTAGCGTCAACTCTGCCGTGTTTTCCACAAACACCAAATCGTTTCGAAGCGTCGGATGCAGCAGATAAACGGCCAATGCCCGCAGCGCCGAGGCACGCACTTGATGCTCTTCATTGTCGCTGCCACTGCAGCCGCTCAAGAAAGCGAGCAGCCCATTACGCTGCGGCTCCGGCAAGCGTTCAAAGCAATAGGCGCCCATATTAGAGAGCGCGTCGCAGAGCGCGCACTTCAATGTTGGAGATGCGACGTTCACGTACACGCTGTAGATGGTGCGGAGAATGTTTTGCCAGAATTTGGAGTGCTCGGCCCGCCAAAGCTCCGGCAGTTCCAGCACATGACGACTCATCTGATAGGCATTCCCCTCCAGGCAGCGGGCCGCATAGAGGCGGACGTCAGGCGAGTTGTCGGTAAGAGATAGACAGAGGACCTTGTACAGGCTCTCCAAATGGTCCTGCAGCAATCCAAAATGTGTGGCCATCGCCAGCAGTACCTGCAGGCATTCAACGCGAAGCGGCGTCGCAGTATTTACGGACTCCAGTTGGCGAAACACATACCGCAGCAGCCAGGAGTTGCGGGGCACTTCAGAGTTCTGCTCCACCCTCTTGTCTTCCGGATGCTGCACCTTCTCAGAATTGTGTTTCTTTTCATCGGACTTTTCCTCCTTCTGCTCGTTTTGCTCCTCCTTCTTTTCAAGCTGTTGTTCTTGCTGCTCTTCCTCCTCGACCTCCTCATCTTCTGCCTCCAGTTCAGCATCGTTCAGTATATCGCAAAGATCAGCAAATTTCAGCTCCTGTTCGCGCACATTTAGACGCGGCGCCGTGTTAACCAACTTAGTGGTTACCTGGTGAGCCGAGGGTAAGCCCACAGCACAGGCGATCTCCTGCGTGAGACGCGGCGTAGCTACCAACAATTCCATGACCAGCAATGCGGATACTTGAACGGTGGCCTCCACATGGCGCAATAATTTCTTAACTTCTGGCACGAACTGGTAGACCAGACCCATATCCAGATGTTCGAAAGGCGTCGCCTGCACCAGCACGGCCAGACATTTGAGGCTCTGCGTCAACACCGGTGGGGCATATTCCCGGCTCAGGATCTGGGCGAGCGTACGATAGGCAGAGAGTAAGCTGTTGGACAGATTGACTGCGAAATTCGTGTAGTTGCTGGCGCCAATCGAGCTGGCCTGACTCAAGTAGCTCCTGGAGCCATAAATGACCTGGCCAGCCACCTGAAGGGCCAAGGCTCGGCACCGTCCGTTGCCATCCGTCTGGCCAATGTGCAGCAGATGCAGAGAATTGCTGCAATTGCCTTTGCAGTCGCTGGGAAAGAGTATATGCCAGTAGCCATAGAGACTGCGTTTGGGCAGCTGCTTCACCATAGCTGCTAGGAGCTGGAGCGCCGCTGAACGCACCTTAGCCTGTCGATGACGTTCCTGCATGGCATTCAGTTGCCGTGGCTGCAGGGTCGTCGGCTCGTCGGATTGAGTCTGGCCCTCGGATTCGCCGGTACGGTCCGCACCATAATCGTTGCTGGTTAGCAAGAGGAATAGCTCCTGATCACGACTGGTGGGTACGGGCGCCTGATGTTCGCGCGTATTGCTGCGCTTCTTGATGGAACGCATTTTGCGTGTCTTGGGCTGACGCCCACCATTGGAGCGTTGTCCATTGATCGGCTCCTCCTCGTCGTCGGCATAAACAGCCGTCTGCTGGGTGGGTTGCACGCGATGCGGCATTTGCAGCTTCACGGCGGAGCCATCGTGCTCAGTGCTAAATTGTACGTACGCCAGGACGAGGCCGAACAATTCCGGCGTCTGTTGCTCCACAAACTGTGGATTATGCAGCGCAATTTTGGCCAGCAACTGAAGGGTGTGCTGCAGCAGCTGCGGCATCTGTGTGGCGTTTTCTGCCAACGCACGTTGCTGCCACAAGCCGACGTAGTGCACTTGTATTAAAGCATTCGCCACTTGGGAGCTGAGCTTCAAATCCTCCGCCTCCATGGACGCGCTAAAGACTGTGTCCAGGCACAATACCAACAACAGCATTGCATCCACACTATCCGCAATCTTGATGGCCGCCAGACTCGTCCAATACTTGCGCACATTAACCGCCGCCAAGCCGGCAATGCTCGACATCGCCGCCAGCTTCAGCAGCGTGCACAGACAGCGTAGGGTGTCCACACTTCCATTATGCTCGTCCGCACGCAGCAGCAGCCATTGGATGAGCTCATCGGCCTTCGGACCGCCCAGAGCTAGTTTGTTGCTAAGCAACAGCTCGTTCAGCCAATCCATCCATGCGTTCGCCTCCGGACCACCTTCCTTCACTCCCTCCTGCACAGACGATACTAACAGCTGTGCGAGATGAGCCATCGTTTGGCTGTCGAGGTTCTCGCCAGCGATGTGCAATTGATGTAGCAGCTTCAGGGGATGCTCATGATGCGCCTCCTCTGCTCCTGGAGCAGCTCCTATCCGTGCACCCACGATTTGGACCAGCGTCTCGTAGGCCTTCTTCTCCTTATCCATTAAACCAATTTCGCATTGAAGCCTACTACTTTGAACTGAGACACATCGAACGACTTACAATGCACGCCTATCGATAAGCCATTACGTTCCCATGTATCGATACTAATTTTGTAAAAAATATCGAATTTTAGTCCCGTAGAAAAAAATAAATCGTTCCATTTGAATTGCTTTTGCTTTATATATTTTCCAATTTAGCTTATGGCGTTTTCTTATTGAAATTCTCCCTAACGATGTTTGTAAAACAGAGGAGAACTCATTGAAGGGAATACATTTATTAATTTACAGCATAGAAGCTTTATGCCAAAAACAAATTGCGACGTAAATTAAATATTTTATTAAAGATCTTTTTAAAAATAACAAAATATAATAATGCTGTAACATACACCTATTTTGGAAGATTAATGCAACCAATCGAATCCATTTTAGGTAACATTATTACAAATAGTAGATGAGAATTGCTTATATCATATATCGGAAGCTTATTATTTGCATATAAAAAATAATAACCCTGTAAATAGTTTTAGAAACGCTAGCAGATAACTTCCGGTAACTTGCCTGTTACTCGCATTCTGCTATCCTTGAATAGAAATGTTTTTTATTTCAAATGTTTATTTTAGTTGAAATTATTTTATCACAACTGCCGTAAGAAATTGCTTTAACTTTATAACTAGAAAATATTCCTCGAATATCCACTTACGGAACGTCTGAATAACATCATGCCTCCATATCTGTAAAACGAATCTCTATAAGAAATGGGAGAACATATTTTCGACATATTTTTCGTATATAAACCAACATAAATAATTTATAGAAATGACATTGTGTATATTATGTATTTGCACGCACCAAAGTCTTTATTTAGTACATAACGAAAAGGTTCATAGTAATTAAAAGCTTACATTACTGTGTATATCTCGTATATATAATTTCAAATGTTTTGTATATATGTGTATATATATTTTATAAGAATAATATATTAATAAATATCATGTTATGTAAAACTATAAAACAATTTTGCTCAGCACTATTTAATTGATTAACATGCAGTGAAGTTCACTGAGCAGCGACCAACACCATTACTCACGAACCAAATTCTATGCAATTACCAAGCAATCATGCCATAGTCGATCAGACCGACTATGCGATACCCTCTATCCAATTGTAAAAGCTCATCTAAAACCGAATTTCTATGAATATATCTTAACTAATAGCTCTAATGATAACTTTGGTTAGATAGCCATATTTTGTGAATAATACTACCAACATAATCTGTCATATTATCATCATCTAAATTATCTGCAGCATTGGCTATCGTGGGCGTTCTTCATCGGTGTGAAAAGATTACAAAAATGAAAAAACACTTTCAGGAATTGGGTAGAGGATATAGAAATAGCACATCTTCATCATTACTATTATAATAATCATTAACAGGTCTGCTGTAGTTATCCCTGAGCAAATACCACACTTTAATAACCCGCTGGTTTGACTAACTAGCTTTGATTCACTGTTTAATAATTTGGTTCATGAATTTTATTAAATATTCCAATTTATATACATATATATAGAGAAGGGCTTATCCGTGTATATTAGGCGGGCTTTCACTGGTTGAAAGGACTATTATCTATATATATATATATATATATATATATATATATGTATATTTATATATACTAGAGTGCAAACATACATTTCTTTCATTTTCTCTTTACAAATTAAAAGTCTTAGAAAAGAACATAAAGCCAAAATGTGAGTTTGGTGTAAAGATACATAATGCTTATTCTTACATAGCTATTATTAATTGCACATACATGCATGCATACACACACACACGTATAGTATATATTTGTGTATAATGGGTAGAATTTCGAATACGCACGTATGCTCTGCATGTATGTGTGTACGTGGGTAGGCTAGCGGGGTCTACATAAAAACGAGACCCCGGAAAGGAGCACATAAACATGAGCTATGAATTATTTAATTTAATCTTTGGCAAGACCGCAGATGTTGATCACAAAAATCGTTTCCGTTTAGATTAACTATTCTTTTGTTTGTCTTCCATTTAACTTTCTATCCTATGCATATAGGTATGTAGGTATAAAACTACGATATATTATTTTCACTAATCTCTACATTCATCCTATATATACATCCACATATAAATCCGTGTGAAGAACTAAACTATCGAACAAGAACAAGAATAATATTTAGTACATATAGTACGTATATCGTAAATAATAATGAACACTATAAAATTAATTATGTTCAAGTATTTTGAAAAATTTGGCTAAATTTGGAGCAGTGACTCGGGTATTGGGAAGGAATACGTTATGGCTGACTCAAATAATTTTTAAAAAAATATACAAAAACAATATTTTTAAATGAAGTAGTCCGCAGCGACGTCGAACGGATGGGTTTTTGTTGGTAATCGTATCATTGGCAAGGCTCTTAATTAAGTACTCTACAAATTCTACGGAGCGCAGTCAGCGGCAGAAGATTTTCAATATCAATGGAGCAGGACGTCGCGAGCACCTTTTCATTTACAGATATATACACATAGAAGATATATCCATATACGAGTATATACAGTATATACATACTTGTACTACTGCCTAACGAATTAATTTTTATAAATAATGGAGTCGTTCGGGTATAAATTTACTAAAATCGCATAATAATGACAACCAGCGGCGAGCACCACAAACAAATGCCAAATGGCATGCGCCATCGGTATAAGTCCGTCCGATTTAAAAAACGCAATGCCTAGTATATAGAAAGCACCGCCAAATTTTAATTGCGTCATCCCAGGAAAATTATGACCGGTGAGTATTACAACCAGAGCCGGTCCCAAACCCATTATTATATAGAAGAAGGTCTCCAGGCATTTATATCGTTCGTGATAGAGCTGCGAAGAAAATGAAAGATAATTCATTATATTATCATTATATTATTGTGTGGATTCAACTCACCTGTTGATACGCTATGCCAATAGCTGCCATTAACCATATTACCCATTCCATGCAAAACAATATCGCCGAATGATTCGTATTCTCCAGCGTCAGCCACGGAAAATATGAGCCAGCAATGAACACATAAATCATAGCGCGATCGCAACGATGCAAAATATTTTTGAGCCCACAGTATGTGTGCCAACCAACGGCTGGCCAAGCTTTGTAGTTAATTGGTGGTCTATTAACAATAAAAAGTTGAGTCGAGTTAGTTCAGAGGGAAAGGAAACAAGCGGAACTCAAGAAAACTAAAAGTAAGTATAGTGGCCATTATGTTTAAAAGTCTGTCTTTCCTACTCTACGCATTTTTACGTGAAGATATTCAAAAGCGTTTTATTTGGAAGCGTAATGAAGAGTCAGTGAAACGTCTCACGCACATCAACCGCCTTTATATCTAAATGTAATGAGCATTTTACAATTCTTCAGAAATGGTCCCTTAAGAAAATATAGTTTAAAATCACTAAACTCTCAATTCTCTGTGTAAAGAATTAAGTATAGTGGCTATTACGTTTTAAAGTCCATCATTTGTATTTAAAAGCTTAGTTGGTTAGTTATTGAAGAGTCAGTCAGTCGTCTTTTTATCTATATCTTTTATCTATACCTATACATATCTTTTTATCACTGAAGAAAATTAAGTTTAGATTCACAAATCATCCCATTCGTAACGAATCTTAGGTATGCTTGACCCATTACTGCATGTTTTATAATACATAACTAAATCAAGAAAATGCATTCTTCTAGACTACAAGTAGATGATACTGCAATTTGATGATATATAAGAGCTCTGAACGGACCCGATTACTGTAGAAATTGTAAAAGCAACAAATATGGAAACAGCACGCTTGAAAAGAAACATTTATTTCCGTAATATTTGCACTCTCTTTTCGATTTGAAATCACATAATCAAAAAGCAAAAACATACATATTTTAAATCGGATCTCAGTTGCAACGAAAACTTTAGAGCTGTTCTTAAGATGAAAAAAAAGCTTTCTCAACAGCTTTACAACAGACAAACAGGGTTCAGGTTTTCGTGGGTAGGACAAATAAATATATGTGACAAATACCCTCAGCCATCACTTTTATGTTATGGATGAGAAACAATTTCAGAATAGCTCTAATTCTGTTTGAATATTTGTGACGTAATCGTTAATGCTACTTACTTATGCTCCACACAGTAGCAGGAACAGTGAAAAAAGGTGGATACGGTGAAGAGCATGCAGAGGGCACCGCCATAGACCCAGGAGACTAACACCTGGCTCGAGGTGTACGAACGCTCGAATAGTTTGATGGCAGCAAACAGGGCGGGAACAATCCAAATGCCGTGCGTGATGACATTAGCCATCTGCTCGATCTGCGATATTTGATGATAGATGAAAGATGATTTTAGGGCAGGAGTGCAATCCACCCAAAGGACTATTACAATTTAGGACTTACCTCTGTGGGTTGATAGGCACAGCCTGGTCTGGCTTTGGAGTTCTTCCATTTGATATTTCGCAGCTGTAACTTGAATGTTGAATTCGATTTGATAATTGATTTCCAGAAATTGGTGAGCAAATTGTCCAGGAATGAGTATTTGTTCTGTATATCCTGCACCAGGTTACTCATTGTGCGTGGTTGCTCATCGACCAGCCAACCGGTCCGCCAGCCAGCAAACTGTCAATTAGATTTCGATTTCAAATTGTGTTTAGCGAAAGCATTCGAGTTTTATTTAATTGATGAGTGCATGCACACAGATACGCTCCATTGCACACGACTGTAAATTGTAACAGTTTTTTTTAGTTACCTGCGCCCCTAAACCTCTCCGATTCCCTCCCAACTTAGGTCAGGGATCAAGAATATTTACTTAAAAAAACAAGAGAGAACGCTACAGTCGAGCAAGCCCGACCGTGGAATACCCTCTACCCAGACAAACTTCCTGCACTGAGGTTTATGCGCCTTTAGCAGAAGCAAAAAGAAGAAGAAGAGCGAATTTAATGCTGCAGCTTGTGGGCGTAGTTCTGGAGTGAAATTGTTTCGCTAATAACTTTTCTTAGAATTGACCTATTTGTACAAGTATGAAATTAGAAAAAGTAGATATTTTGTGAATAGATTACGTGTGCATATTGTGGTTATCGTAGATGGACAGTGTTGGCGAAATTCTATAGCGGGTAGAGGGGAGGGATTATCAAAAAAAATAAAATAAAATAAACTCGTGTAGCCTAGGGACTAGGAGCGTCTGCACACCAAGTTTGGTTAATGTGCGCTCAACAGTTTCCGCAATCCAGGCGTTCATCTAGACGGTCGGATCGATTTCTTTTGTCATGCTGATCACGAATATACATATATACTTTATGGGGTCGGTGATGCTTCCTTCTGCACAAACCTAATATACCCTATTTACCTTACGGGTACAGGGTATAATAAAAACTGAGGCGGAATCCGCCTGCACACTATATGCGTTTAAATTGTTGTTGCTTTTTACAAATTAAACGTAACCTTCAATATCAACAACAAATAGGCAAGTGTAAAGGTAAATTGGAAAAGTGTATTTTGGATAATAATTGGGGCGAGCAATTAAGAAAATGCTAATACTTCAAAGGTCATAAAAAGATTATTTGAAGATAATTCATTTAACTACTTATAGGGTAATACTTGTATTAACACTGCGCCTAACATTTAAAAAAGGTAGCCATATTGTAAAGGCAACAAATAGATTTTAGAAGATAATTAAATATACTACAACATAACTGAACATTCTACATATGATTTCGTAAGCTATGTGATAACAGATATGTATATTTAAATGTTATTCCTACAGTTATTTGAAGATAAATAAATAATAACTAAACAATTTTGAACATTTAAAGCGTTTCACCAAGAAAAAAAAATTAAATATGATAGAAAGACTTCAAAGGTCGTAAAGATAAATAGACTACAAAATAGCTGATATGTTTAGTTTCAGATGATCGCGTGATAGCTTTGGTGTTAAACCGCAATATACGGAAATTGCGACGTTTTCTTAGCCATATACATATATGCATATTCTCTATATGCATATAATAGGCAGAAAGATAGAGAACTCTTCTCTATCATAGGCAGTTAGGGGGGTTTACGAATACGCCTATTTTTGAGCTGCCACCTATTACTTAGTCTTATTTTATAACATTAATTAGTTTCTTCCAGCAGATCACAGATAATACGATTTTTAATTTAAAATCTAATAAGTTTCAATTTTTGAAAGCGTTTTTTTTTCGATCCGTAATTTGAAGTTCATGTGTTAAGAATTTCGTTAACGCGGTCATGCCTAAGATGTTCGAACTGACACCTCTTGAATTCTGTATTTTTTTCAACTCTTAAATAAATACCCAACTAATTCATTTTCCTAATTTATTATTATATTATTTTCCTGACTTAAATTCTCATAAATTATGTAGAAATCGTTAAAAAAAAAACAATATTTGAATAAAATATTACCTAATTAAATTTAAATATAACTTTTCTTTAAGCTGATATCTCTGAACTGCATAGAAACGATCTATCCAGTGAATAAAGCAAGAACTGGAAAGCAACAATGGAAATTTCGCGTGAATTGGCTTACGAACCGATTGCCGCAACGAATTCACATTTCATGGTGAAGAAACGAAACTAATTTGTACACAAAACAGCTGTTTAATTTTACGAATAGCGCTATTAATCGCTATTTCATTCTTTGCGTTCCCATTTCCACCGATTTGCTGCATAAACTAGAAATAAACCCAAACGGATTATCGATTATACGACAATATATCGACAAAACGCTGATTGCTGAGGATTTCTGCAACAGATTTGTTAGCTGATGAACAGCTGATTTGAAATCGTTGAGCAAATGTGAAAAAATTCGTATCTCTCTGATCGATAGTCAATCATATAATATTGGTGTGAAGCTTCTTTTTTTAAAGCGGAATATATAATATTTTTGGGAGTTAAAGAGTTACATAATAGACACACAAAAATAAGCTGTAGAACTGTGAACATAAAATTATGCTTCATGCTTTTCAAATATTAATCCATTAATGTGCATATCGGTATTACTTGTAATATTTAAGAATTAGGTGAGCCAATAGCATTCTCGAATAGCCAGCAAATGGTTCTTATCTTATAAAGCCACTTAATCAAATAATACGTATGGGAAACGTGCGCTGAAAATGTATGTTATTAAGAAGAGCTATTCAGCTGAAAACGAAATTTAAAACATTTAATCAATTAATATAAATAGTTCAGCTTCTAACGTTTCATGCCTTTATGGAAATCGCTATACCCTTGAGACAGACAAGAGTTCGTAGAGTTCGCAGAGTACTATACATATATTCGTATATTATTTAGGTCAGTCTATTCCAGACGACGAAATGGTCCTAGTAAGATAGACTTCAAGCTCTACTTATACGACTTTGAGTAACGAAGTATTTAAGGTTAAAAGTATAGAGGAACCGCACTAGAAATGCAATGGGTACATACTTGTGTTTCTGTTCAGTTAATGAGATAGGAATTATCGTCAGAGGTCTCTTTAACTGGCAGTTGGGTGCTGGTCTCCAGAACGAGCAGGGTTAGCGATTAACGCGAAGCGATTGATGGGGACAAAGTCCCCTTATTTTTGTTTTATGTCGGAAAAACGTCTGCGATTTTTCGCATAAACAAAATTATTTTGAAGACTTGATGGCAAAGTCATAAAAAGGTTTTACTAAAATCGCACAGCATAGCGTTTTTTGTGGCTTGTTTATTGCTAAAGTAGCCGGGCGGTTTATTGTTTCTATTATGGCTTTATGGTTATCACTTTAATGCCATTGATTGCTCGCTTATCAGTCCGTGGTGGCGGCTATGACGGCGGCAGCTTTGGCTGGTTATTTGGGCATATAGTATAATAGAGATAAGGAGGCTAGGCAAATATTTGGCGGGGAGCATTGATATACGAGTGGCTGGCTCTGTTGGCTTTATCAGCGATATACAGTTGAGTTGCACATTCGGAAACATACAAGTATAGTGGCAGTGGCTCGTTTACACTGACCTTGCCGGACATTGGCGGATGGTGTTTGGGCGCCAGACACTGTCCATATATACATAGTATAACACTTTATGCTTTATATGTATGTAGCTTACATATACTATATATGAAAAATGACCTCTGTGGCTGTCTTTATGCCAAATCAATTTTACAATTTGAATCGCAAATGGGCTCCGGCTACTGCAATTGCCTGCATTGTGGGGGCACTGGGACTGCAATGTGCGGAATTTATGCATGACGTCCAAAGCGACACAATTCGCCAAAATCAAAAGCCAAGTGTTCTCAATTAACATATGCATGCACACATGCATGCATATATAAATACACATATCTATACTAGATATATACATACATACTTGTATGTATATGTAAATACTTGTATAGACACGTAAATGCGAAACCGGTCTTTGAAAAGAGCCAACGAGCGGCCAAGTATGTATGTTACGATGAGCAGGTATTGTCCAAAAGGCCATGAACTGCATCTTTGTTGCCAAAGGCACATCAATTTCTTACTCATATAATACATGCTATAATGCCCATTCGTTATAGGCATTTATTGGCCCAAGAAACTGCAACTACTTAACACTCGTCTAGAAAGGTTGCCTGATAATGGAGAAGCGAGACAAAGCGCAAAAACTTTAGTCTCTGCTCGACTGTTCTTTATTGCCGTACTTTCAATTTTCGTCTTTATGTTCCGACTTAAGTCTAGTGTTATGTGTTAGGAACAAAACCATCTTTATTTGAATCTGTGTATGCTCTTTAACCTCATCATTTTACGTAACCCTCATGCTCCACAGACTACAAGTAGTTCATCTGCCCTAATCGTAGTAATTCTTCTCAATCCACTTGTAAATCCTACTTCTCTATTATGGTGTTTTTGTATTTTATATTCGAAACACCTAATTGTTGCTTTAGTGGCTTTAACTAGCCAATAAGTAATAACTAATAAATACTAAATCATCTTTTTCCACATAGCTTTGAATTCTTCTAACGCCCAGATTATTCATATTATTTAGTTTTATTATTATATTATTTTTAATTTATTGTATTATTTAGTTTTATTTGAGTGCTTGTCTCCCTACTGAAGCAGAAATATTGTGCAACATTATATACTTGTATATTATAGGGAGGTACTTATTGGAAGAAAAAAGATTATTTTGCACTTTGAAAATACTTTTAAAACACATATGTAGAGCAATGGCAAATCACAATGCTGATTTCTGTCAGATAAGGCGCCGATTAATAAGCTCCACTCATGTTTTTTAGGAAAGCTGAAAATCAACAACGGAAATAAAATAAACAGAAATATGGAAGACGCATAATGATAAAGACATAGTAAATGAACATGTTTTCTATAAAACTATCAATCAAGTTGCCCGACTAAGGCGGAAAAGCCTCAAAGACTGCCAAGAGCGTATTCATATACATACATATATGTATGTATGTATGTGTTTGTGAACAACCAAACAGCGGTAAAGTCGGGCCATTGAGAGCAACGTGCAACGTTGGCTTAAGAAGGAGCACAGCCACCCCAAACCAAATCCGCCTCAAACTCCACAGAATGGAATGCAGACTTATAACCAGTCCACTCACACTTCATTGCTTGATGCAGGAAATTCAAAGAAGCAAAGATGGTCGAATCGCCTGAACAACTCCCATGCCACTATTCTTAAACTCACCATGGACAGGATGTATCGGAAAGCGCATAGGCTGCTCTTATTGTAGTATGCTAGATGGCGAAATGCTCTCCTGGTGGTCTACCAGCTCTACCCAACTAATCTCTAACAATACCCCGCCACACTAAGAACCAACCCGAGTCGATGTGTATATTGGTTGTTTATATCCATCGGCCACATTCCTCTATTTATTGCATATATACATAGTATTCGCCGAAACAATTCTCCCAAAAATAATAACCCTTCACTTGTGGATTAAACTTAGGACTGTAATTTTATTTTACTTCATCAAAATATAGATTATCCTGTTCAGAAAGACACTTTTTTATATATAACATCTATAACCACATAACTTAAAAATAATCAGCTGTGAAACGCATTTTAGAAATAGAGTTCAAGCACACCTTCAAGAGAATAACTAATAAAAATAAAGTAGAAAACATAAAACCTGTACTAATACATTTACATTCAGTAGGCAACACTTATGTACTAATTATAATGATAACAATAAGAGCAAAAAAATAAAAATAAATAATAATAATAATTCTCCTTAAATTGATAATAAAATTCAAATAAATTCAACGTACAGTCTTATCTTATTAAATTTGATTATACCTTCCAAAACTATGTTAAATACCGTTAGGTGCAATGGGAGTATTTTCGGATTTGACATCAGTGAACAGATATAAAAAATTCTAAAAATTATATTTCGATTTTATTTCACTATGTTCGTCATTAGAGAACTGAAAGCTGTGAAAATGTGTGAGCAAAATTCTTAGAGTTTCGGAAAATCTTTGCAAGTAACACTTTTTATCCCATGAAGAAGTTATTTGCTTCTTTAAAAATCAAGTAATTTTAACATCATTTTCAACTCAACCACATTCTGAATGCAAACCATTTTCATTGAACTTTGCAGTACAATAAAACCCAAAGTTGAGTTAAAGTCGATTAAGTTAATTTCTTTGATTTGCAAGCTATTTAAAGTACGATTATCTGCTCTCTCTATCTTATTGTGAATAAATAGATCCCTTTAATTATTACATAATTAGCCAGAATATGTAAGGATTCCAGTGCATTGATTGAAATAGTCATGGTTCACAATTTTTTGTTTATTTATAGGCCTTAAATGTTTTCGCGAAAATAGTAGAAGTGAAGCAGTTTTGTTATTCAGTCGATTTTTGTAATCAAAATAATGCCATCAGTACCTACATACATACATAAGTACATATGTATGTACATATATCCGTTAATGCTTCGGGTGCAAATAAATATCCTTCTGCTTGTTAACTAAATTATGTATTTATATATTTCTACAAGCTGGGTACATAAACATTATTTTCTAGCGGCTGACGACAAGGAATGCACTTTGGTCTGCAGCTGAATTCATATCATGAATGACATATATATGTACATACTCGTATGTATGTATGTATGTATGTATTTGGCTGGCGCGTTTGTGTTGTTGTCCGCATGCCTATGCTTACGACAAAAGTTCAACTATTTTTATATGCTAATCGGGTGGCTGTGAAAGCCAACCTGTCTATATTTATGGGGAATCGAACGGCGGGACGTTGCAAAAGCTGCTCACACACATATACACACATACGTACTACTATGTACATAAGTATGTATGTATACGAGTACATATATATGGTATATAATATATATGTACATATACATACATATATAGTGCATGTGGGTGTTGCTGTTGCTCTTCTTGTTGACTATTGGGACAATGGGTGGTCTTTTGTTTACAAGTCAGCAATAACAACGACTCGAAGAAGGCTAGAGGGGAGGCACAACAACAAGGGGCTAGCGGCAGGAGGCAGGTGGCAGATTGACAGGTTGACGCAACGGTGTATTGGCTTTTAAGTTGTCGGCTCTCTGCTGCTGTTTTTTAATCTAATTTGCTGTTTAGTGGCTCGCCAGGGCAGGCAGGCAGGCAGGCATGGATGCAGACAGACAGCCACCTAGCCAATTGTTATCATGCATAATAATTATGTGCATGCCAGCAAACAGACACACACACAAGCACAACTCAGTGGCTTCCGCATTTTGTTTTGCGCGCCCAATTAGTAGTAGCAAGCATGATAATTGAATATTAATAATAATAGTATTAACAAAACGTCGCTTTTGTATTAACTTACAAGCATACAATGTTGTTGTTGCCGTTACTGCTGTTGCTGTGATAGGTGATGCGTTTAATGTTGCTAATATTTGTATAATACCTTTGCATTTATGCACAACCGCAGTACGTTTAACAAAAGGGCATTGATGCAAAAGAAATGATAACTAAACAGCAACACACACACACACACACACACACCTACACACATCCAGACGCACACGCAACGCTCAGGCGACAGAATAATTTAGGCAAAAGAACAGAAAATATGCGTAGGCGGCGGCGACAACGCGCGGTGTGAGCGTTCGACACAAACAACGCGCACTTGCACTTAAAATATTTAACAAAAAAAATGCACAAATTGTTTAAGCGACCCGCACACGTCCACCCGCAATTAATTTACCACAACAACTGATGCAGCCATAGAGATGTGGAAGGGCATCGATGCACAAAACATCGGCGTGCCGCGTTAATGCGCAGCACTGCCAACCTGTTTCCAATACGGAACTGCCAGCTTGTACAATTTTGATGATAACAGGGCGGCACATTTGAATTTTAAATTTCACCCTGCCAGAGTTATTGATAGCAGCAATGAAGCTGTTCAAATCGTATACATATTAAATATTTTATAAATATATATATTATTATTAGTATTAAATACTCAATTTAGCGGGTGACCATAGTAATATAAATCAGTTGCAACCTAACGGTAAATTGATTGTCAATAACAATTGAAAGCCTTAGCACTAAATTCATAGCTCTATTGACGGTTTCGAACCCAGTATGATTGCTCTATTTATAGCATGTTATTAGTATACAAAACTTCAATTTAAGTATTTAATTGTGGGATTCATTGGGTAAAATAAATAAATGCCAGATGGTACTCAAAAATGAGTTGGTTCAGCTACAAAAACGTTTTCAAAGCGAATCTCAGCATTAAGTTCCAAAATACTACAAGTATTAGCAGTCTTAGAATCAAATCTGTATAAATCGTAATCGACGCTAAAATCAAAGCATCAATAAGAAACTCAATCCATTTCACAGTTTTCGTTTGGCAAGTTACATGAACAGTTCTTGTTTAGAAACGGTTCTGTTAGAAATACCTAAGCATGCCTTGCCTGGGTCGGACGAACTCTGTTACAAGCTCTCTATCACACAGTCTGCCATTCAACAAAATTTTCCCGTTCAGCTCCCCAACTGAAAAAATTATAATAAAAAACGCACACCTTTTCATTAATTCGGCAATCCACACACAAAAGATGAGCACATTCAGCCAAATCGTACCCAATGAGCCTGCAGAGCAGTTTGTCACCATAACGCTGGAGAACGTGGCCGCTCAATGCGATGCCGTCTTGGATGCCGTCAAACCCAAGCGTGGAAACTTCTACACCGTCTCGATCCTGATTAGTGCATATTGCGGTATGCTGGTTTATCGGGCCTATCGCGCTCGTCAACTCAAACGCGAGGCCGACATCAAGAAGGTCGAAATCAACTCGCAGGTGCTGATCATCGAGGACCGTACCTTTGCCGATGTTCCTGGCATTATAGAGCCAGTGACGGTGCCGAATTTTTCGCTGCAGAGTAAGCGATTCATCGAGCAGGGCCAACAGGATCCTGATGCGGAGTCCAAGATGGAAAACGAGCCAACTGAAGAGATCGAAGATCCCTTGCCAGAGCCGGATGCTAACCTCATCAATGTGCACTAGAAGATCCACCCACATAGGGGGTCCGCCCACCTAGAGTAAATTTCAAAGCGATAATATTACTTCATTAAATTAGAGCTTAATAGCATAGATACATATAAATATATAGATATACATATATAAACTCAACAATTCGTGTGTGTTTTAATTAACCAAATCTAACTGATGATACACCAGTATATAAAAAAATATCGAGCAGCTTTTCATAATTGGTATAACTTCCATTTTGCCAGGGTATATTAGATTTGTGCAAAGTACTTATGTAACATGCAGAAAGAAGCATCTCCGACACCATTACATTCTGAATCAGCATGACGAGAGACATCGATCTAGACATATCCGTCCGTCTGTCTGGATGAACGCCTGGATTTCGGAAACGGCTGAGCATACATAAACCAAACTTGGCATGCAGACGCTCATATACGAGTTATTTCACTTTTTTGAAGAGATCTTTCGATTATGATTTAATTTCATAAATACATATCTCACAATTCCAACACTATGACGTTCGAAATTAAATGAATTTCAATTTGCACAAGTAAGCAATGCTTTTAATTTCAAAACTTCGATTTTATATTCCCAGCTCCAGTTCAGTATATTTTCAATTGTTTTCGGAGAAAAACATCTAAAACAAAAAAAAAAACAAAAATTAAAATGTGAAATAATAAAAAATTAGATTTAAGCATAAAGTGTTATTAGTGTTAAGCAAAAAGTGCAAGTTCATTAGTTTTAAGAATTTTTGTGAAATAATACAACATTTTCGAATATTTGTGTCAACAACAAGGAGTATGCGGAAAGATTGAATACCCCAGTCTACCCTTATTCTAGTAAGTATGGAAAGAAATCAAATGAGGCTTACTATAAGAAGTGGCATTTTCCGTAGCACCGCGTTAGATATATACAAGTATTTCTCTATTACGACTACAGCATAACGAATTCAAGAGCTAAAAATCCACACCCAGAACACAAGAAGGTACTTTGCACTATTTTGGGTTGGAGTACTTTAACGATCACCAGCTCTTTTCAGTTCGGAGTATGTGGAATTATTGATTACACCAATCGACACCCATTCAAGTATGTATGGAAAGAAATCAACTGAGTGAGGTTTAGCAAAAGAAGTCACATTTTCTATAGGACTACGATATGTACTTATGTAGTTCTCCATATAACGAGAGTACTTTAAACATTGCTGGAGTGCGCTACTGATCAGGATTATAAATGGTTATCAGAATTATGACTGCAACTTAGAGCCATTACACAAAGGACACTTTATTGGACATATCACACTTATTGGTAAGCACCGAAGAACGCCTCCAGGTACTGGTAATAAGTTGTTCCCTTTTTCATGCTTCAGTAATCATTTCAATTGGACATATATTTTGATACTAAAAAAGACTAGATACTAAAGATACTAAAAGGGACTACGATACAAGTATGTATGTAGTTCTCCATATAACGAATTTGAGGTTTAAGAACCCACAAGAGAGTACTTTAAACATTGCTGGAGTGCGCTACTGATCAGGATGATAAATGGTTATCAGAATTATGACTGCAACTTAGAGCCATTACACAAAGGACACTTTATTGGACATATCACACTTATTGGTAAGCACCGAAGAATGCCTCAAGGTACTGGTAATAAGTTGTTCCCTTTTTCATGCTTCAGTAATCATTTCAATTGGACATATATTTTATTACTAAAAAAGACTAGATACTAAAGATACTAAAAGGGACTACGATATGTATGTAGTTCTCCATATAACGAATTCGAGGTTTAAGAACCCACAAGAGAGTACTTTAAACATTGCTGGAGTGCGCTACTGATCAGGATTATAAATGGTTATCAGAATTATGACTGCAATTTAGAGCCATTACACAAAGGACACTTTATTGGACATATCACACTTATTGGTAAGCACCGAAGAACGCCTCCAGGTACTGGTAATAAGTTGTTCCCTTTTTCATGCTTCAGTAATCATTTCAATTGGACATATATTTTATTACTAAAAAAGACTAGATACTAAAGATACTAAAAGGGACTACGATATGTATGTAGTTCTCCATATAACGAATTCGAGGTTTAAGAACCCACAAGAGAGTACTTTAAACATTGCTGGAGTGCGCTACTGATCAGGATTATAAATGGTTATCAGAATTATGACTGCAATTTAGAGCCATTACACAAAGGACACTTTATTGGACATATCACACTTATTGGTAAGCACCGAAGAATGCCTCAAGGTACTGGTAATAAGTTGTTCCCTTTTTCATGCTTCAGTAATCATTTCAATTGGACATATATTTTGATACTAAAAAAGACTAGATACTAAAGATACTAAAAAGGACTACGATACAAGTATGTATGTAGTTCTCCATATAACGAATTTGAGGTTTAAGAACCCACAAGAGAGTACTTTAAACATTGTTGGAGTGCGCTACTGATCAGGATTATAAATGGTTATCAGAATTATGACTGCAACTTAGAGCCATTACACAAAGGACACTTTATTGGACATATCACACTTATTGGTAAGCACCGAAGAACGCCTCCAGGTACTGGTAATAAGTTGTTCCCTTTTTCATGCTTCAGTAATCATTTCAATTGGACATATATTTTGATACTAAAAAAGACTAGATACTAAAGATACTAAAAAGGACTACGATACAAGTATGTATGTAGTTCTCCATATAACGAATTTGAGGTTTAAGAACCCACAAGAGAGTACTTTAAACATTGCTGGAGTGCGCTACTGATCAGGATGATAAATGGTTATCAGAATTATGACTGCAATTTAGAGCCATTACACAAAGGACACTTTATTGGACATATCACACTTATTGGTAAGCACCGAAGAACGCCTCCAGGTACTGGTAATAAGTTGTTCCCTTTTTCATGCTTCAGTAATCATTTCAATTGGACATATATTTTATTACTAAAAAAGACTAGATACTAAAGATACTAAAAGGGACTACGATATGTATGTAGTTCTCCATATAACGAATTCGAGGTTTAAGAACCCACAAGAGAGTACTTTAAACATTGCTGGAGTGCGCTACTGATCAGGATGATAAATGGTTATCAGAATTATGACTGCAATTTAGAGCCATTACACAAAGGACACTTTATTGGACATATCACACTTATTGGTAAGCACCGAAGAACGCCTCCAGGTACTGGTAATAAGTTGTTCCCTTTTTCATGCTTCAGTAATCATTTCAATTGGACATATATTTTGATACTAAAAAAGAAACCTTACACGTTATTAGGTAAGCTTGCATGACCAATGATTCAAAGTATTGGTAATTTTTATTCTGTAGTACTCATTTCAATTTCTAGATGATCGGCCCACTTATGGGGATATTATATATATTTTGATACGAAAGAGCACAAAACTATAAAAGAGAAAGATTTAGAAGAATGCTTCAAAGCTTCTCGGCTACAAACACTAACCGGCGTCTCCCGGCTACAAATCCTATATATTTTGATACGAAAAGACAAACTTTAAACTTAGCATCTAGTAAGGAAACACAATAATTGAAAATACAGCGTATGAACTGTTCCTTTTTAAGTTTTGCAGCGATCATTCAAATCGGCATATGGATGTTTGCAGCAGTAAATACACTCTTTATAAGTATTTTTACATAAAAAACGATGTATATATTTTGATACTAAAGGAAATCCTTACCATATATTTTGATACTAAGACGGAAATACCTATACATACTTGTCCCACATTAAAAGGTGAGTTCAAAAGCATACTTCAGCGTGTATTGCAAATAATGTGTACTCTTTTTTTCTTCTGCAGGGATGCCAGTAATTCAATTTCCAATCACAACTCTTCTCGGAGCAGTAATGTGATGCTAAAATGAAAACCAAACTGTATATTTTGATACTAAAAATCCCTTACCATATATTTTGATACTAATAAACCTATATATTTTGATACTTAAGGGATATAGAAAGCATATGTATTTGATTTCATTCTCATGTACCTATACTAGCAATTCTCTTTTGTTTCCTTCTATTAAAGCAGCTAACTCTATTTTCGTTCTCTATGCGATGCTTTTATCTTGTTAGAATAATTCCAAGAATATGAAGAATCGTAAGCACTTCTTTGACGAATCAAGCATTTCCAGGTTCCGTACTACAAAAAGTTACCATGTAAAATAATTTGTTAATTTCCCTCACTTTAGGGTGGGGTGATGAGGCTAAAAAATTCATTCCATAATCGACCCTATAGAAGTAGTCTCTTCTACTATATGTATGTCTTTAAGTCGTGTGAATTGACAAAATAGAATTCAATCAGACAAACTGTTATATATGTATGTATATAGATAAGTTTACAAGCCAGTACGTAATCAATGGAAATCAAACTGGTTTGGGGGCCTGAATTTGTTCTTTCAATATGAATGTGATTTCAAAAGAATTTTATATATGTATTTCATGTGATTATTTATGATTTTGGTTAAATACTTAATATGAGAAACGCGGCTTTTACTTTTAAAGTCAACATTATAATACGAGTATGAAAATGAAAAAATGGCATTTTGGGGAAGGACTACGAAATGATTATTCGATAATGACGCCGATTAAGGTAAAGCTAGTCAAAGTACTTGTATTACGGGGGAACGTTGGTAAGGAACGATTCAAATTTCTTTTAAATGTCAACGACGAAACGAAGCTGCAGTTGTGCAAAAATATTAAATTGTAAATTCATTTCCAACTCTTTGCTGTGGTGATTGTGAAAATACTTGTATTGGTAATGAAAGGCGCTTCAATTGTTCAATATTTTCAGCGCCACGCAACTTAATCTGAATATAATTTTGGTTGAGGTGGAGAAGTCTTTGGTGCTACTACTAACTATTAATTTGCAATCGACTGAGTAGAATATTCGCTTTTTTTCAAACGCGAATAATAAGCTCAAATAGTTTCTAAATAGGTATGTGGTTCTATACTTACTACTTAATACACTCCCATGGACTATGAATACTTTTAGGCAGCAATATTTTCGGAACTGATGTCTAATTTGAATAACGCAGATACTGCCGCAGCTGTATGGGCTGCTCCGCAGAATTCCCCAAACGGGTATTACAATCACGGCAAATCTCGAATGAATAGCGATGCCATGAAGAAGAAGCCGGCTGATTGCACCGTCATTATTGGAGGGAGCTACTTTAGTTGTAACTTAGAGGTTTTGCAGCTCCATTGCGACTACTTTGACCACGGACGTCCGGGTATGGCATTCGGATTGCCTGAGTGCAAGGTGTCCGGCGAGGCATTTTTTACCGCCTACTCATGGATGATGCAGCCGTCGACCATCGTACGACCAGATCAGATTGTGCCCCTGTACTTTGTTGCCAAATATCTGAGAATTGACGAGCTCCTCAAGCAGTATAGAACTATTTTCAAAAGTGCCTCTGTGATGCGCGAGGAAATTGGCTTTCATGTTTTTCTTGGCCATCGCAAGTGGAACGTCGTCTTGTCGCATCATGTCTCCCTAAAGAATGTCCAAAAGTATTACCTCACGCTGATCGGAAGGCCTGAGTTTTATGAGCTTTATGGCAGCGATATCATCGCTCTGCTCAGTTCAAATAGCATTTGTGTGAATTCTGAGTTGGAGGTGTTGTTATCAGCCATCATCTGGCTTCTCCATCACTGGAAGAATCATCATGAGTGGTTGGATAGCATCCTGAAATGCGTGCACTTCAATCTCATTCCAAGAGAGGCACTCTGCCATTTCGTGCAGCATCCATCTGGCAAGGAACTGAACCATATCACCGCACATCCGTTGTTCCTTAACCATTTGGCAGACACACACACCAATTCCAATTATAACATCCACTATGGTAGTCAGCGTTCCTGGATCTACGACCCACACAGCTCCTATCATCACGATTCCCATTGTGTACATCGGAATTACTTTACTTTCGAGCAGTTCTCTATCTACCAGACTGAGCTCCGCACTGTTTCCAAGCTCCATTGGTATAGTCGCCAGATGCTTAATCCGTATAAGCGGAGCTGTCGCAATCTCGGCTGCCAACGGGAAATGTTCACAAAACATAAGCAAAGAACCTATGACAAAAGATATCAGTAATATAAGATATATACATATGTATGTTGATATGTATGTACGTGTATATTTATTCTTACAAGTATATCGTGCATCTAAATGATTGTTGAAACTATTTGTTGGCTTTTGTAGTGCCTCCCATGAACATAGTTAAATAGTTCAATAAATTGTATACATTTGTATACACCGGAGAAGCTACAATTTGAAACTACGATATTGTTTTCGTACCCAAAATAAAGTCAAAAACTTGAAATTGTTTTTAAAAACATTTGCCTTACGAATATACATATACATATATAGGATATTTAAGAAGCCCTCACTCTCACCCCGATTCGACGGCGTGGAAATTACAGCAGAAAAATACCGCTCCCATTACTTCATTCATGGAAAATGCGGTCCAGTTGTGTGAACTACGAAATTTCTGCATTGCTATCCATAAGCACGAAAAAGCCCAAAGATCTTGTTAAGTAGAACACAATTGAAGGAAGTTAATCCCACAAAGCTTTGGCACATTAGTACTTGAATATGCTTCATATTTATGAAATAATAATGGATTTTGTGTACAACGAGTCATGGCGATATCGATATTACGAACCGAAAATTGATATTCAATGCGATATACATATGTATGTGGAATGCATCGATTTTTTGAGATCGCCATCATATTAACATCGAACTTACAGAGCAGCAAAGACAATAAAGGGCACGTTTTCCCTTGTTTGCAAAGAGTGGTCATTGAGCTCTATAATATTAATGTGGAACACCTTTCTGCTTGCACATTACTGATCGACAGCGAATTATACAAACGACGCACACGAGCATCGATAGTCAGACGTTTTAGGTCCACAAACGCCTCAAATTATCAGTTGCACTGCTGCTAGTTATCGATATCAAGCAAGGGAATGAGCAGGATAAATAATTAGTAATGGGGGATCACCATTCATTTAACTGCATGCCGATATATGCCAGTTAATTATTGAGGATTCGATATATTAATAGCCTGCTTTACAAAATTTAGATCGATGCAGTCTGATAATTGTCAAAATAACGACATTTAAGATATAGGCTCGTACCAGTTTTAGATTAAAATAGAAGAGTGAAAGGCTTTGAACAATGTGTAATATAAAAAAAAAATTAAAAATTTTAAGATATTTAAATGAAAACCCCAAAAAAAACTCGAATATTTCAATTCAAATAACGCCAAAGGGACTTCTCGTACCAAATAGATAAAGGCCACCCATATTATGGAAATGCCTCACAATTCTTTCGGGCCTAACTCTAAATGAACTGATTTCTTAGTTATTTGTTTTTTTTTTAAAGTCTGATTGATTGGCATCTTTTAGTGGACCGGGAAATACATTCAATTAACTCTAGATCACTTGGATATTACCCATGTTACAAGAATGGCCAAACTGCCAACAGAAAAAGCCTCAGCAGTAGCTGGAAGGAACTGTTGAGTTGATGTTACTGGACCTGTGAGCTCAATGTAGCGTAAGTGATTTTGTCCCTTTCGCTGTCATTTTTTAGGGAGTATTATGTAATCGGTACTTTTCGTTTCCGCTTTCTGGTGACGTCACGTGACAGTGACAGAACGTTATTATTATTTCGGTGCACGACTTGACAGTAAATCTTAAAACATCTACAACAAAACTTATTATTTTTGCTCTATTCTTGCGTGCATGAATATTTCGATTGCATAAGTACCGTTTGGCGGTTAAATTTTTGTAGCCGATATACCGGGAAGACTACTAATTGCGTTTTTTCGACACACATAGCGTATTCTTTACCTACGTAGATAGAGTTTAGAGTAATATATTGGAGTCATAGAAAATTTGTGATTACAAAGCTCGCTTCCTGAAGAACTTCCCATCTGTGTTTGCCCTTTTATGAGAGAATGGAAAACTTTAAATTGTCAACGATGCAGATGCTCTCACAAGTCGGCGGCTATTTCCGACTTAACTATCCGCACATTTTGTGTGCGCTCGGGCTGAGCATTTTACTGACTTATATTATGTGGACGGGACTGGATACATGGATGGCCGAGTGGTTTTTGGCGAAGATAGGCATTTGTATATCTTCAGTGGAGGTGGAAGAATGGAATTATTACTTCGCTATAATATGCTTTGGGATCAGCGTGGCTCTAATGGCAATGGGACTGATTGTAATGCGTCATTATCGAATCTATCACACAAATCGCGTCGTCTATCGAGATGAGCCAGCCGAGGATGTTCCGATAGCTGCAGAGCTGCCTCTGTTGGCAGAGGAGGCCGAAGAGGACGATGAAGCTGAAGTAGACGTGGACGTGGAAGTAGACGAGGAAGAGGATCTCGAAGAAGCCCAAGTATACTACAGTGGCGAGGAAGATAGCAGCAAGTCCGACTAAAGAGTTAAATAAATATAATGCCGATCTAAAACTGGGTATGTAGCTGTGTTCCATTTTATAGTGGCTTAGCTTAGAAACAATATTTTTTTTTTCTTTATCTAGGAGTCCATATCGAACATATTTTCAAGAAAATCACGTTCAATATCTATCAATTCGAATTAACAAATACCATTACTAGACTGCGAACCATTCCATTGGTGCCTTGCGCCTTCACATTTAAATTATTTTTAAAACCATTTAAGAGCATTTGTAATTACTGCCGCAACGACATTTGGAATCATTAGTTTTTAACTTTTTTTTTTTAATCAAACCGCTTCTTGAAACCGTAAGAAGGAGACCACATTACATTTGTAATCAATCTTCATTTTTAAACCACCTGCATTACGGACCCAAGCTCACATTTGCAATCCGCTTGCATCATAAAATCATACCAATGAGCTGGTAAGTGCTACGGAATCTACTCGCACGTGGCGAACCATCAGTATCTTTCACATTTCTATATTTGTACTCATCTAGGTTATTGCAGCACTGTGTCTCAATTTCTAACATTTTTGTAGTTAAACCGCATCTTTAAAACAGCCAGCGAGCCAACATTACGGACCAAAAGCGTTTTACTTTTGTGTTCGAACTTTAACTTTAAAACATCAGACCGAACCTGCAAACGAACTGGTAAGTGCTACGGAATCTGCTCGTCTATTGCGAACCAAAATTATATTATACATCCTTACATCTCTACTCATCTAGGATCTTACAATCCGCAACCTTAAACCATAACAGCGAGCCCACATCCAAGCGATTCAAGCGCATCCTCTTCAATTAATAAACCTTTACAGCGAACCTATGTAAATTTCGGAACAATCACGTCCTACGTGGCTTATATTTGTAATCATCTCGCATCTAGATATTAAATAATCCAATAGCTTTTGAAAACGAAACGAACGAGCCTGCAAATACCACCGAATTATCTTGTATTCCAATATTTTTCATCGCAGCAAATAATTCAATCTGTAATCAAGTATTTTGTTAACAAACCATCGAAACTAAACTTTAAACGATGTCCCACCTGATCGTATGTTTATCGCAGACAAGATTGCTTGTTGCATAAATCTATGTTAAGTTATAAATAGATATACATATATATAGAGGGTACATCCAATCAACTTTCAATACGAAAAATCATTTATTGAGTAAATTTTGTTTCATTGTTTCCTTCACATGCTCACAAAGGTTTTAACTTGAATTCATTAGCTGGTTGGTTGGTTTTGGTTTTGTAAGTAGAGTAGTGTGTGAATGCATGATTTCTGGATGTATCTACATACATATAGCATATAGTATAATTATATCTTGTTACATACACATATAGATGGGTATACGCTTGAATTTTTCTGGGAATTTTGAGCGCTTACATTTTTTGTTTATCTCTAACACTGAGTTACACAAAAGAGAGGGGGGAAAACATACCATCTAAACACACAGTTAATATATATAGGTACATACATATTTTCTCTTTCTTAGATCTGTATTTTAAAAATTATAAAACGCAGCATACATATTATTACCAACTTTTGCCTCATTCTACATACTATACACACTAGTACGAACACCCATAATCGAAATAATGAAGACACCAACTAAGCTTCAGCTGTGCATCAATTGTTGGACACGATGTGTGGATCGATCTGTTTATCCTAAATAGCTCATAAATGGATCAAAACTGAACTGTACTTGTGATCAGTGAGTTTGGAGTAATCATAAAACCGGAAACGGAATTTCTATATGTATGTATGGCATCCTTAGCCTTTTTCCTTTAGCTGTCATTCGCTTTTGTTACCATTATAGGATCTACTATTTGACGAGATCGATGATTTCTGGCCTTTTAGGCTTATCGCATTAAAGGGAAATCGAATTTCGAGTTCATTCGAAATTACTCACCTCACATTTACGAGTATATCACAATCTAGCGGACCTTCAAAAGTAATTTCAATGGAGGAAGACACATGGATGCTTAAAATGTTTTAAAATTGATGTAATTAGAGAAACTGAAAAATTTGTTTCCCAAATGAATTAACATTAAACATTCCTCTACTATTTTACATTTTCTGTTTACTTTTATTTCTCTTAGTAAAAAGTATGGATCGGATCACTATATTATATAGCAGCCTAAGGAACTAACGATCAATTTGGTCGAGGAACTAGAATATTCTTTCTTATCTCCGAAGCTATGCTCACCAGTTTGCATTGTGTAAGCACGATTTAATCGGACAACTGTACCTATAAGTATGCTTTAGGACATTAAAGCTGGGACTATCGATGTTTTGTCCTTTTTTTTCTTGACCTTTCATTTTGTATAACCACTGTTTTTCTCTTGGATAGGATTGGTATGATGGCAACTATTTCTATAACTATACCGTTGGACTATAGATCCGGAACTATAGATGTCTTCGAGGTGGAAAAGTGAAAGAAGAGCAGGAACTTTCGTTCTGCATATCAAATCTTTAGCTTTCGGATGGGTTCATTTAATCGGACTATGCCTATAACTATACGTCTACTTTAGTACTTCAAAGCCGGCACTATCGATGCCCTCCGTGTCTACTAACATCGCTGTGGAAATATTGAAGCAGCGCCGAAACTTTCATTCTGTACATCCATTATTTTGTCTATGGATGTGTGTTGGATGGGATTGGTGTGATGGCTATATAGTTCATAAATACATACACATATTAATGCACATACATATGTATGTATGTATGTATGTATGTGTGGCTGTTGAATATTTATTAAGGCTTTTACCTTTGTTTTTCGTTTTCAAATTTGGAAATATTTTATTCCTTATATGCATTTTGTATTTGCTACACAACTGACACCGATTAGCAATTCTAAGTGGGTTTGTTTCAACATACAACATAGGTATGTTATATTATATTATTATTATTATTATTTGTTGTTGTTGTTGTTCAGCATTGTGTGGACACACACATAGGAGAGTAATAGTGTCTGTGTGTGTATGTATGTTTATATAAATAAATATGTATGTACGGCATAGGCATTGTTAGCACTTTTTAAAAACAATTACACACTTGACTTCTTTTAAATATGTTTATAAGTATATATAGGAAACAACAAAAATGGACGCAAAATTATTGTTATTTGGTTTTAGTTGTGATCCATTTTTTGTATGTGTGTGTTCTTGTGTGCCTGTGTATGTGTGTGTGTGTGGTTGTTTTTTTTTTTTATCTAACTATGTATGTATTTGTTGTATATTTATAGGAGTAGGCGAAACGTAGACTTAATGTATGTAAATATTATTAGTTTTTGTTTATCATATATAAATGCAGCTCTAAAACGTTTGCTCTTCTTGACCTTTGTTTTATATATATGTATATATATATATATTTCGCGGCATGTTTTTTGTTAATATATTTTATGCTTTTTACTTTTTGTTTTATTTTTGTTTTCAAATACATTCAATAACATTTCTATAGAAATATTCAAAGCTGAGGTAGTTTATTCATTTATGTTTTTTCTTTCTTTCCATATACGTGTATGTATGTATATTTTCTTTAGTTATGCTTTACCATAGTTGTATAGGTTTAGGTTTTGTTGTATATAGGTATCGTATATATGTATGTCTATATAATTGTAATTACACACACATTTCTTCTCCATTTGGGCTCGTAGTTTTTTTGTGGCTGAGTTCTCTATATACTATGTATGGTATGTATGTATATTATTTACTTCTCTCTCGACTTTTTCACACATACATATACACACACAATAAATTCATAACGTAGACGAGTTTCGATTTCTTATGCAATATTATAGACATATGTATAGTATGTATATATGTAGTTGTGCTCTGCTTGGCTTCATTCTACTACTCTGTTCACATTGGCATTTTGCATGAAGGGCATTCCGAAACGATTGGGATTGGGGAACGTTTGGCATTGGGGCGGTTCCCCCATTACTAGCAAACACGCTGAAATAGAAACTGAACTACACCGTTTGTATATTCAAAATCAATGTACACATACAGCCCTGTTCCCATTTCCAAACGACACCATGTTCACATTCCGGGGAAATTCCCATAAAATATGTGAAATATAAATGCTGTACCCGAGCTTGATGCCGACTTCCATTGAATGTTGCGGATTCGAAATTGGTATAATCTCAATAGATCCATTGGACCATATCGCATATATTTAAATAAAATATATATATATAAGCTGTTCTTTCTTTCGTTTGTATTACTTTTTCCCAAAAGCAAAGTGTATAGAGAAACACCATAAAACGATTTGGTATAAGCAAAAATGTATTGAAAACATTTACAAACATCGATTCCGAAACATGCCTGATATCTTAATTTTCTGAAAGTTCTGCAATAGACAAACGTCCCAAAACGATTTGTTTTGAACAAAAAGGCATCTCAATTTTCAGTACACGCCAACAAATATCTTAATCTGAATGAAGGCCGCAACTCAATTCGAAGAGGATTTTAAATTTCAACATATCGTTTTTTGGAAATGAAAACAGTTCTGATCAATTGTTTGTTGTTTTTTTTTTTGGCTTTTTTAATAATATTTTACGTTTTTTTTTGTTTTGTTATATTTATAATATTATTCCGTATTTAGCTCTATAAATATACGTGTTTTCCAAATGTATGAAAACATCATCGATTTTTACAGGTAAGAGTAATGAACTTAACGTGTATACTGTAGACGACGAAAAAAAAACTTTAAAAATTAAAATTAACATACGCAAATTTATGTATTACATATATATTAACTTTAAAAAATAATTAATAATGTAAAAATATTGTAAAATGTTTTTTTTTCAATTTTTTTCATTAATTTTTGTGGTTTTTTGTGTGTGTGTGTGTGTGTGTATTTAGGAGGAACGTCTGGACCGATCGGCTCTAATTGCCAGAAAAGGAGAGACGGACCCTAGGGGTTTAAATATATACTCGTATATTATTTCTTTACTGAAGTTAAAAATTTCTGCTTGCCATTGAAATGTGAAAATGTGGTGGGCGGTGAATGGGTGGTTGTGGGTTTATTTCGGCGGGCGGCTAAAATTATAAACTACTATCACACAGGCAAGCCGCTCGCCGAGAATGGACACTGATGGTGGGGGTGGGGTGGGGTTATGCGGTGGTTGTGGGTGTGTGTTTGTGTGAAAAGGGTTGGCAAAGCCGTCAATTTAAATGTTCTTCTTCTTCCTTGTTGTTCTTTTTTATATTCATCTTGTGTAGAGTTTAGAATATACATACGTAAGCTTAACTAAAAAAAATTATATAGAAGCATAATTCAAAATTGTTTTTGTTAATATTTCTTGTCGCATATATACATACTACACATATATATTATATATGTAAGTATATATGTGTGTTATTTAAAATTGTTGCAACTGTTCTAGCTTGTTTGTATGTGTCTGTGTGTGTGTGTGTGTGCGTGTGTCGAGGGGTGTGTATTGTTCTTTATCTTCATCAAATGCAATAAAACATAACGGTAACTTAATATATGTTGTAGCTCAGTCTCCAGTTGATTACCGTACGATTCATTACAGAATTAGAATTAAGAGAAATGCACAGAGGAACGAACAAATTGGAAAATGCTCTTCAATTAAACTCTCTCTCTCTCTCTCTCTCTCTGTTCTCAATTTGAATCTGCAGCAGTGTTTGCTTCTTGTTGTTGGTGATCTCTGTGTTGCCACGTGTTTCACTCCCATTTCGTTTTGTTTTTGCACAGCTTCTACTTTTCGTTCGTTTTTCTTTTTGTTTCATGATTATGGGACTGTTGTTGTTGATACTACTATTGCAAAATGCTTATGAACCTCTGCGTTCCATGCAAGAACACATATTAATGTATGTATATGTTATTATATAAAGCGTGAACTTTCGTTCGTTCGTTTGTGTACATTTTACATAGTTGTATATATG